GCCAGCCAGGGCGCTGCTCCCCAGCTGACCCTACGTTTCGGGCAGGGCTGGTGCAGACAGCATCCAGCATGACCGTGGCCGAGGGCCAGGTGCCGGGCTAACCACCTCACCTTCGTGATCACCTGTCCTCTCAGTGACCCTGTGACACAGGTCCATCACCCCACCCATTTCACAGATGAGGAAAAAGAAGCTCCGAGTTACATGCACAGTGTCACTTAACCCAGCCTGGATTTGAACAGCTGTTGTCAAAGCCCACACTCTGTCCATCGTGCCAAACCACCTCGCCTTTCCGGTTTGCAGATCTGGAGGTCAAATGGCGGGAGAGAGCTAGGCTCTGGACTGTGAATTCCGAGTGAGAGGTGGGGAGACGAGGCAGCCTGTGCACACCTCCCACCCCCCAGGGGGACAGTGAGAGATGCCCGGTGACCAGGGAGGACTCCAGGGCTGGGAGTCGGGGAGGAGAGTCATGTCCACGAGGGCCCCGGCAAGTTGCCCAACTTTTCTGGACCTCGGCATTCTTTTCCCCGCCTGAGACCCTTAAGCTAATTCTCTCGGGCCCCTGCGGGAGCTGACATTCTGGGACTTTGCAGCTTCAGAATGAAATTCAGAAAAGGCGGAACGAAAGCTCGGCTCTCTGCCCCATCTCGGCCCTCCCCACGCCCCTGCCCTCAGGACAGTGATGGTGAGGATGCTGAGTGCAAAGGAGATCATCCAGAAAACATGCTTTTCCAGAAGAACAGTGATTGAAGGTCATCGTCACCCTAGGGTGTCACAACACAGAGGAGGTGAACCAGCGTAATGTGGGCTCAAAAAAAATCAAGCCAAAAATAATCAGAAGTCATCAGGCAGCCCCAGGCCGAAACACTCACACATCATACGGTAAAATCACAACATCACAAGGAAGCAGTTGACGAGTGATGTTCAGATACAGCTGTATCCACTGAGCCCTCGCTACACTGTGCTGCTGGCTGCCCACCTCTAATGCTCATGCCAAACCTCAGGCACAGGGGTCAGTGCCCCTTTGAAAGTTGAGGAAACGTGAAGGCAAAGACAACGCTTTCCCCAATGTCATACAGCAAAGAGAAGTACAGCTGGGGGGCGCTGGGGGGCATCGAGGTTGCCTTCTTCACATGGGGGTTGGCAAAATGGGCATGTTCAGTTTGTGAAAATTTCTGCACATGTATATTTTTCTTTCTGTATACCTCTTTTTAAAAATATTTTCTCTTTATTGATTTTGGAAAGAGGTAGAAACATCGATGAGAGAGAACATCGACTGGCTGCCTCCTGCATGCCTCCCTCTGGGGATCGGACCCACAACCTGGGCAGGTGCCCTGACCGGGAATCGAACTGGCGACCTCTTGGTGTGTGGGTCCACGCTCAACCACTGAGTCATACCGGCCGGGCACGTTTACTTGTTTCTTAACCTCAGAGTTACTCTTGGTGCATGGGTCAACAACGCTCAGCCAGTGAGCCATACTGGCCAGGCCTTTTTGTATATCTTTTATATTGAATATATATAGTGTGATTTCCTCTATGTATTATACTTCAATTTATTATTTTTTTTAATTTTAAACTCAAAGCGAAGCTTGGACGAGAGTCTGCCGCATCCAGGGCTCTGTCCCATAGATGCCATGCACTCCGGGGCCCCCTCAGGGCGGAGGAGAAATCCCCACTGAGAAGACAGCGTGTGTATCTGTCCCACTTGTGGTTGTGGGGAGGCAGCTCACCTGCTTCTCTCCCCGCCCCCGTCGATGTCCACCACGTTCCACATCACGCAGGAGTCATCAGAAATCACGATGAACGGCCAGATGTCCTGCGGCTTGATGCCCAGCTCCTCCTGCCGGTTCCGCTCCAGCTCCAGGTTGTGGTAAGACAGCTCCTTGATCAGGAAGTGGGCGGCACCTGCACCAGACAAAGCCACCGCGGGCTCAGGTCTGTCCCGCTGGACATCCAACAAGACAAAGGCCGCCCGCTAAGGCCAGCCGGCTCCCTCGTCCGCTCACTACTAGGTGCTGATTTGGGAGAGAAAATTCTAGGGCAGAAAACACACCTCTCCAAATGCATATACATCGTCTGCTTATCCTGGCTTTCCTAACACGAGTTAAGAACATACATTAAATCAATAACCAAACATCAAAGAAAAAAGACTATGCGAACAAATCAAAACAGCTTTAAAATCAAAAGGCTCGATGAAAAAGGCTTAACACTATCAACTGCAGAACACGCTCTCAATCTCCACTCCCAGAAATTTCACCGAGCGGGGCGTGTTCAAGGTGCCTACCAACTCCGGCGCTGTTGAAGGTGCTGGGGAGAACCAGCATGATGTGGTTGGGCCAGTACTTCTTATAGATCGGCATCTCGTACTCCTTGACCACCAACACATGCAGATGGCTGGCTCCATCCATGGCGTGGTACAGGTTAAAGAGCCCGTGTTCGTGCCGGCCAGTTGTCGGGGTGAACGTCGGACTTTTTATATATTCCTGGCTCTGGAAGGTAGAGGCATAAGGAGGGGAGGTGTTTCTAAATGTGGTTGCAGTTATTCTCCTCTCTTTGGAATGTCTATCTCTGCACTCTTTGAATCCCAGCTCAGCCTTGCGACTCACTTTTCCTGATAAAATGCAGAGACAATGATGGTGTACCAGTTCTGAGCCTGGCTGCCGGGGGTCCAGCACGTGCTGCCCTCTGTCCGGACCCCGCATGTCCCTCTCTCAGGAACAAGCCAGCGCGAGCTTGCTGAAGGAGGGGAGACCACGGGAAGCAGAGACCAGAGCCCCCTGAGGCCACCCTCGCCCAGCCAGCCCCCAGCCGACCAGGTAGCTAACTGCAGGCACATGAGTGAGCTCAGCCATGCCCAGGAAAACCACCCTGCTGAGCCGAGCCCAAACTCCCAGCCCACAGAATCAGAAGCTACGTAAACGGTTGTTTGGGAGTGGTTTGTTAAGCAACCCAAACTGACTGGCATATATCCACTACCCTTTCGTGTGAGCGTCTAATCTTGTGCTCTGAGTACGGGTTATTTCTGTCGGACTTAAATGCCCCAGTCACCTACCCACACAGCCTGGCCACTTACACACTCAGGCTGCGCACCTTTTGTATGAAGAACTACGAAGTCTTCCCCCTTCCCCCTGGCTGAGCTAGGTCCCCGCTTCCCCCGAATCCCTCTAAGCACCAGCTACAAAGCCACGATGCCCCTGGAGCTCACGACCTGCTCGTGACCCGCTCTGACGGAACTGGGTGGAAGTGGGAGTGTGAATAAATCCTCGACCACTGCTACACCCGACCCAGCCCCTGGAGAGGGAGAACCACATCATAAAGGCCGCTTTGGTACTTCACAAATGTCAGTGCTGAAAAACAGGGTCTGAAAGGCTAGGCTCAGCCCCCAAGGTCCAGCCCCAGCAGCATCTGCACATGAGCTGTCCGACCAAGTGCCCCTACGGGGAGCGTCCCTATAAGAACAGTGGTCACAGAGATAACGGGTTCTGTAGAACAATCGCTTCAAAAGAGCAGAATTATCCTGAGAGATATATGCTGAAATACTCATGGGTGGAATGATATGTCTAGAATTTGCTTCCAGGTAATACAGGAAGGCAGAAGAGGAGAGACGGACAGAGGAAACAGGACCTGCCGCGCGTTGATCGTGGTTGGAGTTGGCGCGGGCCCCGCGGGAGTGATACTGCTGTACCGCCTTGGCGCCCGAACGCTCCGTGACACAGCGTTAAAGAGAAGCGTGGGCCTGACCGACACCTGCCCAGCACGGACCGTCCAGCGCTGTGAGGGCGCCTGGGGTCGGTTACGCCGATACTTCTCTGCACACGTTTTTGCAAGATCTATTATTGCCCAGTTCACAGACCAGCACACTGAGGCTCGGAGACATTAAGCAGGGAGTTTAAATAAACGACCCAGCCAACAAATGGCAGTGCAGGGCTCGAACTTGACTCGGAGTGACCCCAACGCCCTCACGTTCCCCCGCCTCCTCCACGCTCAGGCACATCGGTCTCCGCCGCACCCCACCTGCCCTTGACTCATGGACAGCCTCTAGGTCCCCAGCTGGGTGGTTACTCGCAGCCACGCTGACGCGACCCACTGGACGCAAAGCCAGTACCTTGTCCGTGACGAGGGGCAGCCGCATGCTCTCCAGCTGGCCTCCGGGTTGGCTGAAGACAAAGTGGTGCTCCTTGGACTTGGGGATGATGAAGTGCAGCTGGACTTCCTCTCCTAGCATGGAGTAAGAGAAGGCAAAGGCGTGCAGGGTGGACTCATAGAGCTGAGGTGCGAGGGGAAAGGACAGAGCTTGGCATCAGAGTCCAGCACAACCTCCCAGAAGAACCCAGGCCCATCGTGGCTGCGACTACACACGGGTCATCGCCACCTCTGCCCCCAGCCCGAGAAACCCACAGGGCAGCACCAGGACGAGGTGGACACCCGGGTCTTGCTGCGGGAGGCCACCCCCACTCAGCAGAGGCCCGATCCCGTCTCTAATTCTGATCACGCTTCACCCCGGATACCACGTCAGGTGCCCACCACCCTGGACTCTGGATTAGACTCAGCGTGCCAGGTACCTGCTGAAGCAGGCACACTAGAGATCACGTTTGCAGCTCTAAGAAATGTCTTTTCCCATCCTGTGTACTTGCCTGCGTAGCAGCATGTTAATAAGACGGTAAGAACGGCACACACCCGTATACTTCTCTCTCGGTGTCTAGCACCCGCCGTCCCCTTCGCATCATAACTGAACCGTATGAGGCAGGCACTGCTCAGCCCATTTCATGACGTGGGAACTGACATGCAGAGGTCCTGGGCTCACTCCCGTCCCCAAACTAGTCTCACTTCTAGTCACTTCGATCGAAAAGCCCCCCTCCTCACGCCCTGTCTGTGCCCGCTGTGGTCTGGCGTGACTTCCCAGCCCGGCTCTGCCCACGCACGCAATGCCTCCTTCAGGCCTCCGCGCAGGCGCCCAGCGAGGGCCTCCCCTGCGCCCTGGCCTGCGGCAGTGTGGGCCACGCGGTCCCGGGAACAGCAGGCCGGGGAGGGCGACGCAGCTGGACACACCGGCCCAGACTCCTCGTGTGGCTCCCCCAGAACCACCAGGCCCCTGGGAGCAGAGATGAGGAGCAGAGATTTTGACCAGGGGAGGGAGCACAGAGGGACGCAATGACACGGTTCAGAAAAAGGTCCAGGGAGCCTTGAGAGGTGAGAGAGCAGGGAGCAGAGGGACCCCGTGTGCACCCTTCCTGTCCGCCTGGGCCCCGTGGCAAGTCTTCGTGCTTCGAACTCCTCCCCTGTGCTCCCGCCCAAGATGGTGTCTTCACTTATAACACGGAGATGGAGCGACTGCCTCACGGGTGTCAGTGAGAATTAGGTAAGACACGAGGCAGGACAGGTTCCTGACCGTGCACCTCGAACGGATTGCAGGTGTGGCTTGCAGTCCGTTCCGGGGACCAGCCAGGGCCTGGGCCCGCAGCCTTATCCATTTACCAGTGTCCGGGAAGAATGACATTTTCTACCACATAAAAAGGTTGGGAAGGCCCTGGCCAGGTGGCAAAGTCAGTTGCAGTGTTCGATTCCCAGTCAGGACACGTACCGAGGTTGGGGTTCGATCCCTAGTCGGGCGTGTATGGGAGGCAGCCGATCCATGTTTCCTTCACATGGATGTCTCTCTCTCTCCCATCCCCTCTCTCTAACATCAATAAAAACAGCCCTGGCTGGTTTGGCTCAGCAGAGCATCAGCCTGAAGTCCCAAGAGACCCGGGTTCGGTTCCCGCTAAGGGCATGTACCTCGGTTGCAGTTTGTCCCCGGCCCTGGTTGGTCGTGTGGGTGGCAGTCACTCGATGTGTCCCTTCCACGTCATGTTTCTCTCTCTCTCTCTCCATCCCACTCTGTCTGAACAAAAAAATGGAAAAATGTCCTTGGGTGAGGATAAAAAATAAAATAAATACTCTTAAAAACAAACAAACATATCCTCAGGGGAGGATGAAAATGAAATAAAATGAAAGGTTGGGAAGTCCTGAGCTGAAAAAGCACCTAGTAGATTGCCTGGTGTGTAGTAGGTGCTCAATAAATGCAAATCTCTCTCTTTATCTACATAGTTTCTGTGCTTCCCATGGGCTCTGCCGTTTCGCTCGCATGCATCTCTGTCCCTACACCGTGCGCCTTGAGTGTGGAGACAGTTCACCTCTGCGTCTGGTGCGTGACAAGCGCTCGGGGAGGGTCTGCTGCCCTGAACTTTTGAAATTTCTAGGATGTAAAGAAAATTAAGACATCTGCAGTCAGTTAACCTTGCTTCCAAGTAACCGTGTAACCTGGAGAATCGCTGTTCAGTGGTGTCCGAGGTAAATTCACCGAGCGTTGAAGAGAACCGAGGATGCAAGTACACCAGGAAGGAAGGGCTTCCAGAACTTTCCATCGCCCACTCCGGAAGGAAACCATAAACGGAAGCGGCGTGCCCGGCGCCCGCGGCCTACCTGGTAGCGGGGGTGGAAGCCCATGTACTGGTGGCAGTGCTCACAGTGGTGGTACGTGTTGTACGCCGCGTACTTGGACAGCCGCATCCGCGCCGTGTGGCGCCGCACGTACAGGTCATCTGGCTTTCTGGACGGCTCTCTGCCTGCAGGAAACCCCAGCGTTACAGGGCAGCAGAGGCTCAGGGACCTTCTCGCCCGTCTACTCAAAGGGACACGAGCTGAAACGCTACCACGGGGCTTGAGGCGGTTGGCTAGGGTGGCCTCGGGCCCGCCGGGCCGAGGGGGCGCAGCTGGTCAGAAACAACAGCCCCAGGGGGTCAGCTAATGACTGTTCGCTGTCAGCACACTCGCGAGCTGCGTGGCAATGCAGATCGATTGCCAGCGTCACACCGTCATGCAGAGAACACCCCCAGTGTCCCCAGGGACAGCAGGAGTAAGATTCCTGCACGACTTTCCTGAGCCGAGTCTCCGTGAAGGACCTGCAGGGACAGCGATCTGTCCTGAGAAGCATGGAGATAAAGCTATCGGTCTGAAGAGGACACCAGGGAGGATTTCCCTGTCATGCTGCATTCGCCCAACTTTCCCATCCGTGTTTACAATCACACTGGCCACTCACAGTCCACGTTCGCTGACGGGGACCCTGAAACCCTGCACGGCCCTGATACTGTGACGGTCAGAAAGAGGGAGAAAGCAAGGGACCGAGGGAGGAGAGGGAAAGACGAGCATTGTGTTACCGCAATCCAAATTCATAAGCAAACACACACGTCGTTTAGCCTCTGTTAACAAGGATCTTCAGAATATTCTGACCGTGGCAGACCGCAAGAGGGTCCTTGTTATGATCGGCCCTCACTGAGCACTAAGTCTTCCTTCCTGGCTTCACGAACAGCCCGTCCTCGTCCAGCGAGGTGCTGACCTCAGCTCCCCGCTGGGCACTGCTGATGACTTCATCACCCCTAGATGATTAAGTTCATTACTAGCAAACTGTGGCTCATTCCTTTGTGAGAATACTCCCATGTGCTCTGGAAGACATTTGTAAGTCTGACCTTCACGCCCTGGCTGGTTTGGCTCAGCAGTTAGAATGTCAGCCCTCGGGCAGAAGGGTAGAGGGTTCGATTCCCAGACAAGGGCATGTACCTGGGTTGCAGGTTTGCTCTCCAGCCCTGGTCAGGGTGCGTGTAGGAGGCAACCAATCGATGTTTCTCTCTCCCTCTCTCCCTCCCTTCCACGCTGTCTAAAAATCAGTGGGAAAGTGTCCTCGGGGGAGGAGTCACACCGACAGTTAAAGAGTCTGACCTTCTCTCTTTATGCTCTGGTGGTGTGAACAAACCAGGCTGGCGTCTTCATACTTCGGGTCGTGAATAATGTAGTCAAAAGGCAACTTCTTGAAGAGCTCCAGGTCCGGCCAGGGGTCGCTGAGCTGGAGGTAGTGCCAGTCGGATTCTTCTCTGAGGTCTACAAGATTGGGAGAAAACAGATACGCGACCCAGTCAAAACAGAGAATGACTGATTTTAGGTGTGCACAGGGATGGTGCCGGAGCGGAACTGCCGCAGAGTCTGCGGGTTGCTGGGGAGCACGCTGACCCTGAAGGCTCTGCTACGCCCCACACCCAGGCCTGCGCGAATAAGCCCAGAAGGCACAGGGGCAGCAATCTCGCTCCAGGGGAACAGCGTGTACTGTGTTTCTTTTGAGATGGGTGTGTTCTTCTGACCCTCACACTAACCTCAGCTCCTAGCAGCCTGCCTGCCCCTCCCTGTGCTCTGTGCGTCTCCCCAGCACCGTCCCCAAAACCTATCACACTGGTTCCCAGCGCCCACAGAACCTCATGCAGTTTTCTTTCTTGCTCTTACAGGGAAAGGCTACCCAGCCAGTGTGGCCAGCTCCAATCCCCGTCTCTGGAAAGAGCTCAGGCCCATCGCTTCCTCCCTCTGAGTGTGAACACCACTCGGGGCCCACACCACCCCGACCTCTGCCACGGATCAACGTACGTTATGACTTGTGGAGCCTATGGGTGCTCACTAAGTGCTTGCTGGTGAAAAGGTTACAAAAAGTCTAGTTGGTCCAACTCAAAATATGTAACACTGATTATGTGTACATCCTCCTACCCCGTGTATATGGGCAAAGTGCATGTCCATCAGGGAAGGAAAGAGAAGGGAAGGGGGAGAGGAATGTTTATGGTGTGTTTGCAGGTGCTCAGTGCTTCGTGTGTAACATCGTTGAATCTTCGCAACACCCTGTAAAACAGGAATTGTCCAGCCCTGGCCAGTTTGGCTCAGCAGTTAGAGCGTCGGCCTGCGGTCCGGAGAGACCCGGGTTCGGTTCCCGCTAAGGGCACATACTTCGGTTGCAGTTTGTCCCCGGCCCTGGTTGGTCGTGCAGGTGGCAGCCACTCGATGTGTCCCTTCACGTCGATGTTTCTCTCTCTCTCTCTCCCTTCCTCTCTCTCCCTCCCATTCTATCTGTACAAAAACAAACAAAAAAAAACAGGAATTGTCCAGGCCTTACCGAAGACAAAACCCAGGCAATCAGAGTATTTAACACACTGGGCTTTGAAGTTTAACAAACAGGATTAATAAATCCTGTCTTTAGTATTGGTATCTCCAAAACAGGAGGAGACGGAAACGCAACAGGCCTGTTCTCATCTGAAACACAGATTTCCACCTGGACTGTGGGCACCATGGGAAACCCGCAGTCGTCAAAGGAAAGACTCAGCTGGACGGGCTTCTGTGCTTCCAAACGTTCTCCAAGACCAGGGCACAGTCAAGAGCAGCTAAAGAAGCGCCAAGTAGGGTCCTGGCCGGGTTGCTCGGTGGTTAGAGCACCAGCCTGCAGTCGGGAGAGACCCGGGTTCGGTTCCCGCTAAGGGCATGTACCTCGGTTGCGGTTTGTCCCCGGCCCTGGTTGGGTCGTGTGGGAGGCGGCCACTCGATGTGTCCCTTTCACGTCGATGTTTCTCTCTCTCTCTCTTCCTCCCACTCTGTCTGAACAAAAAATGGGAAAATGTCCTCAGGTGAGGATAAAAAAAAAAAGAAGTGCCAAGTAGGGACACGGAGGGATTCCCCTTTCTCCTAAGGCTGAATAGGTTTCGACTGCGTGTACACACTGTGTTGTTGTTATCCATCGCTGGTGGACATGTACTGTCCGTGGACCACGTCTACTGCTGCGTATCCTGGCTGTTCTGACTAGTGCCACAGTGAATGAGGTAACTGTGAGGTGATGGTCACGTGAGTCAGCTTGATCGTGGTGCTGTCACAGGTACACGTGTATCAGATCAAGGTGTACACCTGGACCACACGCAATTTTTTGAAGTGCTGTTGAGATGCCAGTACAGCCGGCTGGTTCCCGTTCTGCACACCACAAACAGGACCCCTCGACAGCTCTGAGTTCCAAAGCTACAGTCCGCGTCAGACCAAGTCTGTGGCCACTGCAGAGGCCTTCGCAGAGGAAATGGGGGCCGTGCTCTGCAATTGGCGGACAACAGCTGCCCAGAGAGTCTCACCCTAATCGGGGAAAACTGTGTTCCACGAACGAGGGGAACGGGCTGTTCCCCACATATCACGTGTTTCCATGCTGCCCCCCGATGTCGCCCTCTGCCCTGCTGCCTGAGCGGGCACCCCCTGACGACAGCCCGGCCTTCTGGGGCGGCACCCTCTGGAGGCGGCAGTGAAACCCAGACTAGTCCCAGCTCTGCCACCTCCCGGGGGGCTGCTGAGCCTGTCACTCATCAGGAAAACGGAAGAAACGCGGAGCCCACCAGGAACAGCCACCTCTACGTCCCGGTGTCCGCAGAAGATGAGATGTGGTCATTTACGCAGTACCGAGCAGTGCTCCACCCAAGGGACTACTCTGCCGGCAGTGGTTATTTTTAGCAGTGATTTTATCCCCACAAAGGTCTCTGAGGCACTGTTCTGATACTGAGCAAAATGACCACAGGGAAAGATCAAGGCACCCACAAGGCCCTTGGGCGAGCCTGGTTGTGAACCTGAGAATCTAGAAAGTAAAAGACGTCACTTGAGAACCGATTCAGGACGACTCCACGCCCGAGCCCCCAGAGGTGACTCACTGATGTTGATCTCCTCTTCGTCGTAAACATCCACCTCCGTCAGCCGGATGAGCATCCTGGACAAGATGCTGAGGAACTGCAGGTAGGCGCCCGTCTTCCCGATCTGTGGACACACGCGCAGCGGAGCCCGCCGTCGGCACGCCTGTCCACACTCCCGGCCCGGCTGGGGCCCCCACAAGTCGTGTCATCTCCCTCTAAAGACCTCGCCTTGCCCGGCCAGTGTGGCTCAGTGGTTGAGCACCAAGAGGTCACCTATTCAAGTCCCAGTCAAGGCACATGCCCAGGTTGTGGGCCCGATCCCCAGTGAGGGGCATGCAGGAGGCAGCCAATCGATGTTCTGTCTCATTGATTTTTCTCTCTCTCTCCCTCTCACTTCCTCTCTCTAAAATCCAGGACCCACCGTCCACCTCTGCCGCTCTGGCCACGCCCGTTCCAGGACCAGATGAAGACCTACAGTCCTCCTCACAACACCTGACATTCGTGTCTTAAAGATCTCTGCAGCCTGACAGGTGAAATGGTCTTTTGTTGCCAGGGCAACACAATGAGCTGGGACGCCAGCAACCCTCCCGCCTCCCTGTTACGTTTCCCCCACGTCTTCCAGCGGGAGTCAGCGGTCACACAGACTGGCCGAGAGGACCCCATGGAGTAACAATGCAGAATCGGGGTCTGAAGGAGCGAGAGACACCCAGAGAACCGTCCACCCCCCGCATCACATAAGAGGAAACTAAGGTGAGGGGACAGAAGTCACCAAGACCGGACCTCCATCCACCTGCCCACTGTGGGGCCACCACCAAAGAGTCTGCCATGGGAACAGCAAGACATGACTAGGGGATGCCGTCAGCCCCAAACGGCCCTCCGGCCTGAGCACAGACCCCCACGGCGTCCAGGCTGGCCGGGCGCACCGACCTGTGGGGGCCCGCTGAGCAGCAGCCGGCGAGGGTGGAAGCCGTCCACGCGGCCCTCGGCACGGTTGCCGTAGTCCATGTGGCTGGGCCGGGGCACTGTCCACTGCCGGTAGTACAGGGACTGCTCCGTGGACGTCATCGTCTTGCTGAGCAGGGGCCGAAAGGAGCTGGCCCACATGACCGAGTGGGAGGGCAGCAGGGAGGCGGCCTTGGGCAGGCCACTGCTGTCAGTGGACGTGACCATGTCGTACACCAGCTTGGGCAGGAAGACGACAGGCGGCTGCTGGCAGGCCTTGGTCATGGAGCACTGGGTGGCCTGCAGGACGAGGGTGCCAGCAGCCGGCACCATGGGCGAGGAAGACGAGCCCGACGAGGAGAGCTGGGATGAGGAGGTGGCCGACACCTGGACGCTCCTCTGGCTGGTCCTCAGGCTGGAGTCAGGCTGGGGGGCCAGCCCAGGGCTGTGCCTGCTGGTGGCTGCTGGTGGCCCCTGACCGGCTCGGAGCCTCTGTTTGTCACCAGGGCCTCTGCCCTCCTCTACAGGGCCGCAGGGCTGTGGGGATCTGGTCTGCTCCCCCGGCAAGGGCCCCCCAGGCTGAGCCGAGGTCTCGCCACAGAGCGCCGAGCCTGGGGAGAGATGGACCTGTCAGTCACACCCCAGGAATGACCTGTCCTGACCCCAGCCGGCCTGTCTCTGCAGCACAAACTACCTTTGCTAGGCCATCACTGGGAATTTTTGTCAACAAAATTCCACCTCTGGTTAGATAGAACCTCTTTGTCCTATGACAAACCCTAGATCTGCTGTGGGGAGAGAGCTGGCGACACCTCTGTGGTATGACATGGCCCCAAGCCCCCCACCCCCTGCACACAACCTCAAAGGCCCCTCCTTTCCAATCCCCTGCCCCTTCCATTGCAGCTGTGAACCCCTCACCTCCGGTGCCCAACCTGGGCTCATGCCTCCAGGCCGGCTGTTCTGGGGACCCCTCCCTTCCTGTCCTGGGCGCTCACCGCTGCACAGCACATGCTGGCTTCTAGTTCAACGCACAGGACCCAGCAGGCTACCCTCTAACGCTGCCATTCCTCAGCTGTCAGGGGAATTCGAGGCCAGAAAAGCAGGCTCGAGCCCCAGCAGGGCGTGCAGGAGGCAGGCAAGGGTATGGAGCTCACACGGACATGGGCGTCTCTCTCTCCCCCCTCCCTGCTTCTCTCTCTAAAAGTCAATAAAAACATTTAAAAAGCTGAGAAATGCAGCGTGCACCGCAGAGGTCCTCTGGCCCCACCCCATGTGAGCCAGGTCAAGAGCAAAGGCGAGTCCGAGTCACAGGGACACACAGGAGCAGGACCCTGGTCCCATCTTTCATGTGGCCATGTACCTGAGGCTCCGCAGAAAGCAGGGATGAAGGACATCCCTATCTTAGCTGTTTCCCAGGACATGAGGGAGGCCATTTTCTGGGCGGCCTGGCACCCCTGACTGCCCTTCCGGGAGAGGCTTCCTGCCACCCTGCAGCTTCAGCCTGCACCCCCTCACCGCCCGGCTCAGGCGATCTGTCCTCTGGGCCCGAGCTCCCCACAGAGCTGTCTACTCAGCGCCACTGCCTGTGTCCAGGCTGAGGCGAAGGCCGCGGTCTGACTGTGCTCACCTCTGAGGGAGACCCCCCCACCTGGCTCACTGTTATCCTCAGGCCGCATGAGGAGGGGGAGGGAGGAAACCAAAGATGCCCCCCCACTGGCCAAGTTCCCTGCTGTGCTCTGACCTCTGCACTAACACCCCTCACACACAACCTTGTAGCCACACTCTGACAAATCAGGTCCCCATCCCCTCAGGGCCACTCACTGCACCCCAAACACCTTCGTGCTTTGAGCCTCCTTATCCTGTGCAGCTTCATCTACCTGGAATACCTTCTCCACCTGCAATCCCTTCTCCTCCACCTGCAGTACCTTCTCCTCCAACTGCAGTACCTTCTCCTCCACCTGCAGTACCTTCTCCTCCACCTGCAGTACCTTCTCCTCCACCTGCAGTACTTTCTCCTCCACCTGCAGTACCTTCTCCTCCACCTGCAGTACCTTCTCCTCCACCTGCAGTACCTTCTCCTCCACCTGCAGTACCTTCTCCTCCACCTGCAGTACCTTCTCCTCCACCTGCAGTACCTTCTCCACCTGCAGTACCTTCTCCTCCACCTGCAGTACCTTCTCCTCCACCTGCAGTACCTTCTCCACCTGCAATACTTTCTCCTCCACCTGCAGTACCTTCTCCTCCACCTGCAGTACCTTCTCCACCTGCAGTACCTTCTCCTCCACCTGCAGTACCTTCTCCTCCACCTGCAATCCCTTCTCCACCTGCAGTACCTTCTCCTCCACCTGCAGTACCTTCTCCTCCACCTGCAGTACCTTCTCCTCCACCTGCAGTACCTTCTCCTCCACCTGCAGTACCTCCTCCACCTGCAGTACCTTCTCCTCCACCTGCAGTACCTTCTCCTCCACCTGCAGTACTTCTCCTCCACCTGCAGTACCTTCTCCTCCACCTGCAGTACCTTCTCCACCTGCAGTACCTTCTCCTCCACCTGCAGTACCTTCTCCTCCACCTGCAGTACCTTCTCCACCTGCAGTACCTTCTCCACCTGCAATACTTTCTCCTCCACCTGCAATCCCTTCTCCTCCACCTGCAATCCCTTCTCCTCCACCTGCAGTACCTTCTCCTCCACCTGCAGTACCTTCTCCTCCACCTGCAGTACCTTCTCCTCCACCTGCAATCCCTTCTCCTCCACCTGCAGTACCTTCTCCACCTGCAATACTTTCTCCACCTGCAATACTTTCTCCACCTGCAGTACCTTCTCCTCCACCTGCAGTACCTTCTCCTCCACCTGCAGTACCTTCTCCTCCACCTGCAGTACCTTCTCCTCCACCTGCAGTACTTCTCCTCCACCTGCAGTACTTCTCCTCCACCTGCAGTACCTTCTCCACCTGCAGTACCTTCTCCTCCACCTGCAGTACCTTCTCCTCCACCTGCAGTACCTTCTCCTCCACCTGCAGTCCTTCTCCTCCACCTGCAGTCCTTCTCCTCCACCTGCAGTACCTTCTCCACCTGCAGTACCTTCTCCTCCACCTGCAGTACCTTCTCCTCCACCGGCAGTACCTTCTCCTCCACCGGCAGTACCTTCTCCTCCACCGGCAGTACCTTCTCCTCCACCTGCAGTACCTTCTCCTCCACCTGCAGTACCTTCTCCTCCACCTGCAATCCCTTCTCCTCCACCTGCAGTACCTTCTCCTCCACCTGCAGTACCTTCTCCTCCACCTGCAGTACCTTCTCCACCTGCAGTACCTTCTCCTCCACCTGCAGTACCTTCTCCTCCACCTGCAATCCCTTCTCCTCCACCTGCAGTACCTTCTCCACCTGCAGTACTTTCTCCACCTGCAGTACTTTCTCCTCCACCTGCAGTACTTCTCCTCCACCTGCAGTACCTTCTCCTCCACCTGCAGTACCTTCTCCTCCACCTGCAGTACCTTCTCCTCCACCTGCAGTACCTTCTCCTCCACCTGCAGTACCTTCTCCTGCACCTGCAGTACCTTCTCCTGCACCTGCAGTACCTTCTCCTCCACCTGCAGTACCTTCTCCTCCACCTGCAGTACCTTCTCCTCCACCTGCAGTACCTTCTCCTCCACCTGCAGTACCTTCTCCTCCACCTGCAGTACTTCTCCTCCACCTGCATACTTCTCCTCCACCTGCAGTACCTTCTCCTCCACCTGCAGTACCTTCTCCTCCACTGCAGTACTTTCTCCACCTGCAGTACCCTTCTCCTCCACCTGCAGTACTTTCCTCCCCTGCAGTACCTTCTCCTCCACCTGCAGTACCTTCTCCTCCACCTGCATACCTTCTCCTCCACCTGCAGTACCTTCTCCTGCACCTGCAAGTACCTCCTCCTGCACCTGCAGTACTTCTCTGCACCGCAGTCCCTTTCTCCACCTGCAGGACCTTCTCCTCACTGCAGTACCTTCTCCTGCACCTGCAGTACCCTTCTTCCTCCACCTGCAGTTACCTTCTCCTCCACCTGCAGTACCTTCTCCTCCACCTGCAGTAACCTTCTCCTCCACGGCGTACCTCTCCTCCACTTGCAGTACCTTCTCCTACACCTGCAGTACCTTCTCCCTCCACCGTGCAGTACCTTCTCCCTCCACCTGCAGTACCTTTCTCCTCCACCGGCAGTAGCCTTCTCCTCCACCTGCAGTACCTTCTCCTCCACCTGCAACTTTCTCCACCACCCTGCTAGTACCTTCTCCAACGTGCAGTAACTGTCTCCTCCACATGCATACCTTCTCCTCCCACCTGCCGTACCTTCTCCACCTGCAGTACCTTCTCCTCCACCTGCAGTACCTTCTCCTCCACCTGCCGTACCTTCTCCACCTGCACTACCTTCTCCTCCACCTGCCATACCTTCTCCACCTGCAACTTTCTCCTCTACCTGCAGTACCTTCTCCTCTATATGCAGTACCTTCTCCACCTGCCATACCTTCTCCACCTGCACTACCTTCTCCTCCACCTGCAGGTACCTTCTCCTCCACCTGCAATACCTTCTCCTCCACCTGCAGTACCTTCTCCTCCACCTGCAATACCTTCTCCACCTGCAATACTTTCTCCTCCACCTGCAGTACCTTCTCCTCCACCTGCAATACCTTCTCCACCTGCAACTTTCTCCTCTACCTGCAGTACCTTCTCCTCCACCTGCAGTACCTTCTCCTCCACCTGCAATACCTTCTCCACCTGCAACTTTCTCCTCTACCTGCATTACCTTCTCCTCCACCTGCAGTACCTTCTCCTCCACATGCAGTACCTTCTCCACCTGCAGTACCTTCTCCACCTGCAATGTCTTTTCCTCTACCTGCAATACCTTCTGCTCCAAGGCCCAGTCAAAGGTAAGCTGCAGTCTGAAACCTGCAGTCACCACACCGCTCTCCCTAAATTCCCCCCACCTGAGACAAGATCACTTCTTTCTACATGTAACCCTAACACTCTAAGTGTGAAATATGAGTGCAGAATAAATACAGCAGCCCTATTGCAACATAACATGGTTGATGAGGAGCCATGAATTCTTTAGGAGCTGGTCCACGTATAACCTCTTTAATGCCTGCATTCAGACATTTAGGTTTTTGACACGGCCCTGTGTTATCACCCCTCACAGGCCACTGCACAGGACAGAGCGCACAGTGTTCCCCCAGGAAAGGAGCCACTAACCCTCACGATCCTGCCAAAATTCCTCACATTCCTAGACCCCAGTCCAGGAAAACATTTAATCTCTGGAAAGTCCAGTTCTTCCAAATTCCCTTCTCTTTCCAGTTCTGGGTGAAAATAAAGGCTCTCTTCACAATGTCTGAATCTCAAGGAAACAGTCCAACTGTGGGCTCTCCCACTGGGAGACTTACTGGATGCCTTCGAGGAGCGACACGAGGACGCAGAATCATGGGAGCGGGACCTTTCTCTCTTCACGGGGCTCCTCTTCTCTGAGGTGGAGCCTGTTTCAAAACATACGCACTGAAAATGCCTGGTGATCGTCATCCTGTATGTTCCCCCAGCACTTTACAGTTTACAAAGTGCATTCACACCTATCATCTCTCCCTATCATGTACCCATCCAACCACCCACCCATCCGTCCATCATCCGTCCATCCATCTATCCATCACCTACCCATTCATCCATCACCTACCCATCCATCCATCCATCCATCCATCCATCCACCCTTCCATCCATCCATCCATCCATCCATCCATCCATCCATCAGCCATCCATCCATCACCCATCCTTCCACCCATCCTACCCATCATCCATCCATCCATCCATCACCCATCCATCCATCTATCATGATCCATCTATCCATCATCCATCCATCCATCTATCATCCATCCATCCATCCATCACCCATCCATCTATCCATCATCCTCCCATCTATCCATCCATCCATCCATCACCCATCCATCCATCCATCCATCCATCACCCATCCATTCATCCATCCATCCATCACCCATCCATCCATCCATCCATCCATCACCCATCCATCCATCCATTCATCCATCCATCCATCATCTTCCAGGTGCCCACCTCTGACAGCGCTCAGAGGACAGGAGTACGGTGCAGGGCAGGCCAGGGAAGCACCTACGTCTTGGTGGGGGCTCCTACCCAAAAGTCACAGCTACAAGATGATATAAGGAGGGCAGAGAGAGGAGCCCAGAAATGAGGCTCCCACGAGCAGAGACAGAAGCATGCAAAGGAAAGGAGAGAGGACCCTGACCTGAGTCCCGAGGGGCCAGCAGGGGTTTCCAGGTAGACACAGTGGGAAGAGCATCTGCGTGGCCCAGAGAGGACAGAGCAGAGCACAGTCAGGGGATCCCTAAAGAGCACAGGGTGTGGCCAAGAGCACAGGGTGTGGCATTTGGGGCTGGAGGGTGGAGAGGAAGGAACAGTGAAACCAAAGAGTGGGCTGTGGAATGCCAGGAGCATGGGCTCCCCCACGGGCAGCAGGGAGGTCGGGGCACTGTAACGACAGGGTCGAGTTCACATCTGTGAGAGTCTGCCAGGGAAGTCTGCCGGGCAGGCCTTTCAGTCCCACCTCACAGACAAGCACTCTGAGGCTAGGACAGGTGACACGACCTGCCCAAAGTCATACAGGTAGCAGATGGGGGCGGCAGAGCAGTGCCGGTCTTCCGACCCCACCTCCATCTCTCCGCGGCGCCATGCCCAACAAGCGCTTTGTATTTTTCTGTTAAAGCTTTTTATTTTTTTCTAGCCACACTGTCGACTACAGCCAAATGGTTTGCACTGCTCTGGTTTATGTGACCTCTTAAATATATAGTGCCAGGTTTTCAAGTCTGCCACTGGAACCGGTCTGTTTACATTAGTCTCCATAACAGGCACATACTGTCAGGTTGGTTCACAGAGAGGAAAAGAGTGTGTACATCTTATACCAGGCAGTAGCCCACCACAGGTCGAGCAAACATGAACTTGAACCCTGTTCATTAAGGACGCTAGAGCTAGAAAGAACCCACTGGGATTTCTATTTTCTTACACCACCAAAAAAGGGGAAAAAGCAAACTCTGAATTCAATGAGAGATTTGCCATTTCCTCCAGAGCCGTATCCAGATAGCTCTCACCCAGAGCTGCTGGCCAGCAGACTGGCCCCAGGCCTCGCTGAATGGGGGGCAGCTGTCTAGACAGGGGCAGGCCACCCCCGAGATTAGAAGCGGAGGCCGACCTTCCGTCACCAGCTCCTCATCCTCGTTGTCAGTGCTGCTCGGCTTCTCTGCGTCGCTCTCCAAGCCCTCGTTCCGGGGCCCCTTCTCCAGGGGCCCCTCGTTGCTCACGAAGTAGGCAGCCAGGCCCAGCTCCTGTTCCAGTGCCGTCCTCACCAAGCAGGAGGAGTTTATGAGACGCAGGTCACAGTACCTCAGAGACCTGGGAGGAAACAGAGAGGTGACCACCCAGTGCTGGCCGCAAGGAGACGCTGGGCTCAGTGCAGAGGGAAACGGTGAGTGTGACCAGTGCTGCGCAGACAGAAAGCAATCGGCATCTCTGTGAGCCTTTCGCCGCCAAGCTGGCTGAGCTGTGGGTCTCTTGGGCACCTGCTCCATGTTCATCTACGCTGCAGGTAATCACAGCCCCGACGAGACGAAAAGGAGGCTGGACACCCAGCTCAGCCACTTCCTAGGGAAAGACCCCTCCACAGTGTGCAGCTTCTCGGAGGCTCGGAATGTTCCCTCGGAAACATGGGAATAAATATTAGTAACCGTCTAACTGCACTGTTGTGAGGATTATGTGTAATGATTACACTATTACATATCGTTGTTACATGTAATTATGTATTCAATAATTAAAAAGTGCCAGGGACTGTGCTAGATATCAGGGACATAATGGACAGTAAGTCGTCATCTACTGAAAATGAGTCTATCTGGGAAGACAGACACCAACAAGTAACGAGATAGTCGGAGGACGTGAGCACAGACGGGCATTGCGGGGCTCGGGTGTGCATGGGGACAGCACAGGGCCTGGAGAGACTCTCTGCCACTTACTACCATGTGACTTCAGGCAAATGGCCTTTCGTCTGCTCCGCTACAGAACAGGATAGTCATACTATTGTTGCAAGGAATAAACACCACAGTAAAAGTCTAGCACAGTTGCCGATACAAAGAAGATACTTAGTAAACACTTGTGCAAATTCAAGATGGATTACAACATTGTTTTAGTCCTTGAGGAGTTGAGGAATGGAAGGATTAATCCATGTGAAATAGCAACAACCAAGGTCAAAGGCTCGGAGCCCCCTTTCCTGGCTTGTGTACTCGCAGCATGCACTGGCCCCTGCATAAGTGGGGTGCAGCCCAGGGGAAGGCAGCCCGGCTTTGGGAGTCAGGCAGCCCTGGCACCCGCTGTCAGCCACGCTGCTGAACCCCTGTCCACCCTGTGCCTCATCAGTCACACGGGACCACTGGAATAACTCCTTTCCCAGGGTTAAGTGAGAGCAAATGAACTAACGCACGTCCAAAGAATCTAGTAGAGTGGCCAGCACGCAGCAGGAGCTCAATAAATGTCAGCTCCTACTGCTTTGTTACACAAGCACAGACGAGCAAAGGCCCTGAGGGTGGCTGCCTGCTCTTTGTGAGTACAACCTGTCACCACCAATTCCAGCAACTGCCTTACTGAAGGCCCAGTGACCTCTGTCCTGAGTGTCTGCCAGTCTGTGTGCAGACCCCATGAGATGCCGAGTGGGCTGGTGGCTGCCATCCGCTCAGCTCTGATGGCCGGGAACACAGCCTTTGAGACAGTCAGCCCTGTGTGGCGGAAGAATGGCTCTTCTTGAGTGGCATCAGCTACCTGCCCCTGTCCCAGAACACCTCCTAAATCAGGAGGGACCAGCTATCACAGCAGCCTAGACACCAGCGGGAAATGTAGCCACGACCCCCACCCAAGATGATCGGTCCCCCTAAATGGACCGGCCATCCCTAACTCCCACGGTGACCGCCCTCACCCCTGCCATGAGGAGAAACAGAGACAGGTGTTAAATCCTGTCTCCAGCCGCAGGCCCTCCACCCAGAGCCTGGCAACAGCCCCCACCCCACCCCTGAGCACAGACAGTGTCTGTCAGAGAATTAGGTAAAGCGTCCCAGGTCTCAGACACATTTCACTGCCATGGTCTAGAAAACCAGCACAATGAAGCTACAAACCTATGACGACGATGAATGTGAATGCGCCCCCTACAGTCAGGCAGTGGAAGCACAGCCTAGCAAACTTCCCCAGGTGTGGGCCCAGGTTCCTCAAAGGCCTCAGGGACATAGCCCCTCCCCACTCACCTTGGTAAGGATTCCCCATGCGGGTCCATCCCACTGAAGATTAGGATGCAAGGCAGGCCCTCCAACTCCAAGTAAGTCTGAGGTCTCCATTCTGCGTCCTCAATTTTCTGCCACATCTGCAGATAATTAAGAAGAAACAACACCTAAGACTCCTGACTTCCCAGCTAGCCCAGCTCCAGGGGAACCGTGATGGCCTCACCCTGCCTTAAAGCCCTTGTGTTGTGTCCTTCGGTAGAAAGTTAAGTTCTTTGTACTGCAAATAAGTAGGTCGTCCGCTTCACCAGCCACGGGCGCACGGCCTGGTACGCGTGTTAGTTGCTCAAGAAACATCTGCTCACTGATTCTTTGGGCAACAGTGCATGTCCTCAGCGTGTCTGACGGTTTTACTGTTTCTCAGTCGTGGCGCTGTGCCTTTCATTGGTAGTTCCTACTCTAGCACTGTTTCAATATTCTTTCTAACGCTTTCGCATCTTCCATCACCTGTAGGTTTAGTGAGGCTGCTATAGGCTGGGCACTGTGCTACGTTTGAGAACCTGAGATCTCTAGGGGTGGTTTCTGCCATCCATCACCTGGGGGAAGAGTCAGATGACAGACAGCAAACACCAAACTACGCCCAGGTGTGGGGAAGGGCCCAGGTGTGAGGAAGGCCCCAGGTGTGGGGGGGGAGGGGCAGCTTCTGGAAACAGGAAAAGACGCTGAGCTGAGTCCTACCAGCTGACAGGCATGAGCTAAGCCAAGGAGAAGAAATGCACCCCCAGGAAGAAAGACGAGCACCCACAGCTCGGAAGTTTAGCATGTTTTATCTCAGAAGATAGCAAGTTTGGGGGAGCCGCGGGGGGAGCATTGATCATGTGGTACCTCTGGACTGAAAGATGCAGGCAGGAGCCTGGCAAGAGAGGAAGCTGGAGGGCTGGCAGGGTGCAGAGGCCACGATGGACACAACCCTAAGGAGCTTGTCACCATCCGCCTCCCCCATCCCCTTGGCCACCACTCCCCACCTGCACTCCGGGTGCCCAGCACCCGCTGTCCCGACCGGAGCGCCCACCTTGAGCTGCTTCACGAAGTGCTTCCCGACGGTGATGCCCGAGCTGGGGTTGCCCAGGATGATCTCGAAGTGCTGGTCCAGAGCCAGCCGCGCGCGCACGTGGGCCAGGCGCTCGTAGGCCACGGCCGCCAGCGGCGAGCAGGGCACCCGCAGCAGGACCATGAGCCCGTGGCCGCAGGGGCACTGCCTGGGCGCGTTGATGAGGTTCTGGGTGATCTCCAGCGTCTCCACCGACGTGTAGTTCTTCATCTGCGAGAGGCCGCTCACGGCCATCATGGCCGCGGCATAGTGCTGCACCAGGACGAAGGTCCTGATGACCGCGCTGTGCAGCCGGGGGAACCTGCAACGGACGGAGGACAGACGGCCGTGAGCCCGCCCTGCCAGCCTCCGGGCGGCAGACGGCCCCGCGGCAGGGAGCCTCGCACAGCGAGCCAGGGCACCGAGACATCTGCCACAGCACCAACGAGCCGGGGGCCCTCTGAGGCTGTCTGGAGCCTGAAGCAGAAGCCTTCCTAGATGGGAAATCAAACTGCTTTGTCGTGTCCCAGCAGGAAACGCAAGGACACGTTTGTCACTGCTGGTGCTTCTCTGGCTGCTCGATAAATATTCACTCAATGAATACGCAGAAGAACAAAGAAAATAAATGCCTGTCAGAGTAGCATCAGCGTGATTCAGTTTCCTGAGCCTGGTCATCTGGCCCAGGTTCCCACTAGAAATAGGGGAACCACAGCTCTCGGAATGTAAGCGCGGCTAAATGTGCCCCAGACCTGGGCATTCGCTCCAAGTACAGGAGGCTCAGAGCTGACAGAAATGTCACTACATGGGATTTACTTTGATAGTGAGTTACAAACCGGGACACATCCAGTTAAACCAGGGATCCCAGTGTCTGGCTTCAGACGCCATGGTCACCGCGTGTCTCCACATGAGGGGGACCCTCTCTCACGACCACGTGCACAGCTAGAGCAGCTCTTACCCACACAGAACGGACCCCAGAACACCCGCTCACCGCTCCTCGGTGGGAGCACAGAGATCGGCATCGGTTCGGACACGCTGCTCGTGTGAGTCCATTGAGCTGGAGGAGTCCCCTGAGCGAGTGCCTTTTTGGAGCAAAGATCATTTCTTGACCTACAAAGTCAGGAGCCTCACGGTGGCTGTGCCACCCTCGAGTCCACGGGGCAGCCAGCTCCAACCGCACCCCTGGTGCCCTCCGTCCATCCTTCCCCCACTCTATTCCGCCTCCTTCGCACCTCGTCTTCTCCAGGGCTCCCGCCACAGCTGCCGGTCCCAGAGTTCTCAGGAGGGCTGAACCGCCCACAGACTCTGGTGCAAAGGGCTCAGGCCCAGGACGAAAGAAGGCGCTGTCTCCCCTGACTGTGGTGGCCCCTTGCCACCTTGAGTGAGGCGTGGAGGGCGGGGACCGCCGAGGCAGAAGCGCTCCTGACCCCTGACTCAGCTCTGCGCACAGGACAAGCGCTCACGCAGCGCTGGACGTGTGTGCCCAGCAGGAGAAGCCGGCGCGGGCAGCGGGCAGCGGGCAGAGGCCGGTTCTCCCAGCCTCCGGGCACCTCTCCCCTCTGCAAGTTCATGGCTGCGCTCTGACTAAACCCAGCAGAATCAGTGCTGGAAGGTAGCCAAGGGATTTTGTTCTCAGGGGTGTGTGAGGAACACTGACCCCAGGAGACACTGGGGATGCTGCACACACTAACCGTCTCGAGAGTCACAGCCTCCGTGGCACGTGGACGGCTCTGAGATCTCTCGTGGAAAAGAAATCCTGTGTTACTTAAGGTCTCTCAAACACATTGGACCGTGGAACCCCTTTTGGCCAAAGCAGCCTACTTTGGAACACAGTTTGGGAGACACGTGTCTGATTGAATCCTATCGTGGGCCAGTGAGAAAAACGAGCCTCCGTGAGGGGAGGGGGCAGAGCCCAGAGCCACGCCCCCCGTTAGTGGGAGAGCCCACTCCTTGTGATTTGAATGAGACCATCCGTAAAACTTGGCCTGGCTTCACGACACACAAACTGTGTGACATCGGCAATCGCTTGACCTCCCTGGGCCTCGGTTTCCCCATCTGTAAAATGGCAGCATGAAAGGTCTGTCGCGGCAGGGTAAAAGGGCAAGCTGCCAAGTCAGACAGCCTCTGCGTTCACACCCAGTCCTGTCCCTGGGAGACGTGTGGTCTGAAAAAGTCACGGGGTCTGTCTGAGCCTCAGTGTATGTACAAAACGAGGACGATGATGTCAACGGGCTCAGAGAGGTGCTGAGGCCTAAATAAGAGCATGACAGGAAGGCTCTTGGAACGGTGAGTGGCACAAAATAACCGCTCAATAGATGACATGCAAAGGAAATAAAAAAGGAAGCGGACACTGGCTGGTTTGGCTCAGCAGTTAGAGCATCGGCCTGCGGTCCAAAAAGACCCGGGTTCGGTTCCCGCTAAGGGCATGTACCTCGGTTGCAGTTTGTCCCCGGCCCTGGTTGGGTCATGTGGGTGGCAGCCACTCGATGTGTCCCTTTCACGTCGATGTTTCTCTCTCTCTCTCTCTCTCTCTCTCTCTCTCTCTCCCCCACTCTATCTGAACAAAAAATGGAAAAATGTCCTCGGATGAGGATAAAAAAAAAGGAAGCAGACCGGGCTTGTCCCTGTCGCCTCCTATAGACCTTGTGGTATTGTGGTATCTGGCCTCCCGTTCTATTGCCCTCCCCTGGGTCTCAGACACACAGTCCCATATTCCAGCATGTTCCTGCCCATCCTCATCTCTAACTTTTCTGGAGCAACAGCACGACAGAGATATCACTGGACAGGAAATAAACCAGGTCCCATTGCTGGGGGACTAAGTTGCCCAGGAAGGGGGGGTGGGTCCCAGGAAGGGACCTGGCTGCACCCGCCTCACCTGGCACTCGATGACGGGCATTTTTAGTAACTTCACAGAGAGATGAGTACCTTTTCCCCAGCGCAGTGACCATGGCCTCGAAGGAGCTGTCGTATCTGAGCAAGGGGAGACTGTGCCCTGAGAGGGTCGACTCGATGAACTCCGACAGCCCGAAGTACTTCTTGTTCTCAGGATATAAGTCCGCTCCCTGAAACAGAGAAGAGCCCCGGTCACGCGACCACAGGTGTGGAGGCGGAGAGGGTCACCGCTGGGAATACAGGCGACCTGGACAGGCGTCGTGGTCTAACTGGCGCTGACTCTGCAGTGATTCCTCCCCCTGCCGACCGAGAGCACAGAGCACTCCACTCGCAAAGGGCGGAGCATCCCCATCACCCGCGAATGTCCATTCATTGGACCCCGGTGTGTTGGCCAAGAAGAAACGCAGCTTTATGTTTTATTTTAACATACAACTCTCGTTGTTGACACTGCTTCTTTCCAACAATATACGCTGGTTTTAGGAACAGTCCAACCAACTAGCTTGCGTTCCACTGTTATTAAAATCCACAGAAAACATATATTTATCTAACCAATTTTACTCAGTGTCATAAAATTCCTCCCAGACTAACGTCAGAAGTTCTCAAACTTCAGAGTATTGCAGAGTTGGGGAGGTTGTTAAATTACAAACTAAATCAAACAGCACATGGTTCCGTGCCAGGGCCATGGAACCAGCCAGCCTGGGTCACATCCTGCCATCCCTTTCCAGCTACATGGCTTCAGGCAGGTGACTCAGCCCCCGCCCCCACCTGGTCTGCCTCATCTTCCCCATCTGCAAGTCAGAAACCATCCTGGCACCTGCACCCTCCATGGTCCATGTGATGAAGCCCTTGACAGTGAAACCTGGCTCACAGACACCGCTGCTTTCTCTGCCACCGAGTCCGCGTCTGCTGGCCTGCAGCCAAGCTCGGGATCTCTAGCAGCTCCTCGGTGACTCTGACACCCTCCAGACAAGCCCAGAAATGGCTGTTCGCTCCTTCCTTGTGTCATTAACTGGAACCCCACCACTCAGAATTCTCAAACCACCGGAATTGTTGCGATCCCAGAGTCGATGAGAAAATGGCAAGTGACCAACCTAAAACTCACCAGGTTTCGCGGGGGCGTGTTCATGGGAAGGAGATTCTGAACCTCGCTGCTGAAGGATGCGGGGACGGGACAAACAGGAACACTTCTAAGGCTCATAGACAAAACCTTTTCTGTTCTTGGATGGCTAAGCCAACTGATGTATTTCAGGAATGTTCCCAAAGACCAGGAAGGATTAAAATCCAACCCAGGCTGGGATCCACTGGACCCCCAAATAATCTAGTTCATCAAGACCCTTACTAATGAGAGTTTCTCCCGCCTCCAGGTCCCCGTGACACGGGACGCAGCAGCCGGGACACTCACGTTGCTGTAGGAGGCGGGCCAGTGGATCTCGTTGTACGGGCTGACCAGAGTGTGCTGCGTCTGCAGCGCATACGGGAAGGAGGTCACGTGCAGGGTCACGATGTTGGGGGCCTCCTTCACCTCCCTGCAGTTGAGCAGTCTGTCCACCAGTCCCACGGACGGGTCGCTTTGGGAGTAGAGATTATGAACAGCGCTACTGAGGGAGGAGAAGGAGAGACAGGACGGTAAGTGGAATGACTAACATGGATCTATAATTGTACAAGGGTTACGCAGTTGGATCAGTTTATAACTAACCCCCCAACACTGCCAACAATTGAAGCTCAGGGTTCTGCCCATGACTAGGAAAACAAAAATGTTAAAAATGACTGTACTGCAGGTACCTGTCTGGGACGCCCCTGCTGCTCATGACTTATTAAACACTTGCTGCGGCCTGGCAGTGTGGCTCAGTGGTTGAGCGTCAACCCTGCACCAAGAGGTCGCCGGTTCGATTCCCGGTCAGGGCACATGCCCAGGTTGTGGGCTCAATCCCCAGTGGGGGCATGCGGGAGGCGGCCAATTGATGTTCTCTCTCATCGATGTTTCTCTCTCTCTCCTCCTCTTCCTTCCTCTCTCTCCAAAAAGCAATAAAGAAAAAATTATTTTTAAAAATAAAAATAAAAGCTTGCTGGGCACAGTATTCATAGAGGGCGTCCTTAGAGAAACACAGTCCGTCTCACCCAGGAGTGTTTGGTGAATCGCTTTTCTCCCTCGGCCCAGTCTGATTGTGACCTGTCTCCTTAGATTCTTTTCCCTAAAGGCCTACTGACTCTGAATGATCAGAGAAGATGTAAACTGGTAAATTCCGTACTCAGTTTAAAAGTATAGGAATAGCCCCGACTGGTTTGGCTCAGCGGTAAGAGCATCCGCCTGCGGACCAAGGAGCCGCAGGTTCAATTCCAGTCAAGGGCACGTGTCTCGCTGTGGTTCGGTCCCTGGTCAGGGTGATGCGGGAGGCAACCAGTCGATGTGTCTCTCTCACATTGATGTTTCTCTCTCTCTTTCTCTTCCTTCCACTTTATCTGAAAATAAATGGAAAAATGCCCTCAGGTGAGGATTTTTTTTAAAGTGTAGGAATCGAATGGGAAGCATCTTGGACAAGGGGCCTGGGAGACCAGAGCAGCTGAGCCTGTGTCCGTGGGACAATGGCCTCAGCACCTTCATCTGTAAATCTAGGGGAATAATAAAAACCAGGGATTCACCTTTTGGGTGGCAGGTGGCCACTCTGAGAAACCTACCCTCCAAATAGACAGTCTTCTGTAATGCAGGGCGCCCCCATCTCCCCAAGCCCACACGTGGGCCCTGGATTGCAAACCCTTCATCTGGATCCTCTTCAAGGACCCGGTCAGCCCTCAGCTTCTGAGTCTGTGCTAAACCAAAGCCTGCCTCCATCACCTGATCGGAGCCCTCCCTTCCCTCCCCAGCCACGTCAGTGCTAAATGCAGGGTCTACATGCGCACCCCCAAGGCCAGTGCCATGGACAGCACCAAGCCTGACCAACACCTGGGGATCCTGCCAGACTCCGGGCTCGACATTCTGAAAGTCACCTAGATGTCCACTCATACGAACCGAGGAAAATCACTCTCAAAGAAGGAAGGCACCAGCCAGGACCCACGGCACCGGAGCCAATGGGTCCCCTCCATCTGGAGGGGCCAGGGCCCTTCCTGCACTGGTCTGCGCTTTGCTGCTGGGTGGGCTGCAGAAGAGGTGCTCCGGGCGCCAGTGGGGCCTCCATCCGGGCCACCCCAGCACACTCCCGCTGCACCCCCGCCCTGCCACTGGGCTCGACGCCTCCCTTCTCCAGCCTCACCTCCGAGGACGCTACCTTTCGGAGGCTGCACTGGATGCCCCGAGATAAGGCCCAGCTCCGAGGTTCTGAAACAACCGTGCCATCTGCCTAAGATGCCAAACCCCCGCGGCGCTCATCTTTTGTGTTTTTGGTTTTTGTTTTTTATCCTCACCCGAGGACACTTTTGCATTTATCTTCCGATAGAGCGGGAGGGAGAGAGGGGTGGAGAGAGAGAGAAACATCGACGTGAGAGAGACACATCGAGTGGCTGCCACCCACATGACCCCAACCGGGGCCGGGGACAAACTGCAACCGAGGTACGTGCCGTTGGCAGGAACCGAACCCGGGTCTCTCTGGACCGCAGGCCGACGCTCTAACCGCTGAGCCAAACCGGCCAGGGCAGCGCTCGTCTTTTGAAGGCCACGCCCACACTCCCAGTGCCAGCCATTTATTATTTCGGAGAAGGAACGTGTCAACCCTGCCAGGCGCCAGTGTCACCCTAACCTCACAAGGTCCCAGTGGGCATGGTCGTGGATGAGGACGAAGAGCGTGTGCGGATTCTGAAAGGAGTTTTGCAGAAAGGACTTAAATTTTGTCTGTGCCTCGGCATCCAGCTTCAGAACATACTGTTCCACCCTCTGCTTGGTCATGTGCTCCTTGTCCAAGCCAAGCTCCAGTAAAACCCCTGCAACACAGTAGAAACACTCCGGTAAGCCTGTCACCAACACGGTCCCAGTTTTCATTCACTCAGCAGACACCCGGTGAGCGTCGCCTTCATGGCCGGCACTGTGCTGGGCCCCGAGGTCACAGGATGCACGCACAAGACATGGGTGAGTCAGGAGGCAGCCTCTTCGGCCAGGGACTGTGGTGAAACTGTCTGTGCAGGGGCCGGGCCCAGAGACAGGCGGCAGACAGCCTGGCGTGGGCACAGCAGCCCGGCCAGGGGACCCAGCAGAGCTGGCTTCACGCACGATATAGCTGATGCCAGGCACGGTAGCAGAAGGGAAGGGGAGGACAGGGAAGGGGAGAGGAGGTCCCACCCTCCCGCAAAATCATCTCAGGCTGAATGCCACCAGGCCATAGAGCGCACCACAGTGACTCCTCCGTGACACTGGCTTTCCACGCATGTCAATTTAGCTCCCTCGACAGAACAGGGAAAGTGCATTCAAGCAGGACATCAACACCCGGGTCATGGACCTGAGTGGGACAGAGTGACATCCCAGTCCCGCTCCGCCCTCTAACAGATGACAAGGTCCAGGTAGAGCTGTTACGTCTGGGCCTCAGTTTCGTGACTGAGCGAATGGGGGCAACAGCCGCGTCCTGACTTCGGAGCGAAGACTGGCGTTGAAATCCCAACCTGAATTCAAGCAGATTGAAGCTTCCCACGCAGACACCCCAGCTCACCCCGAGGGGCCCCCTACCTGAGTGCCAGACGTGGAACAGGGTCTGCTGGTAGGTCACTTCCGAGGGGGGAATACAAATCAGAAAGTCCACCTTCTCGAAGGACCCTAAGTCCAGACTCTGGGTGCTGGAGTCGGCAATGGAGCACACGTGGGAGAGGAGTTTCTGAGCCACGGCCAGCTGGAAGGGCCGGATGTGGGGGGGCTCCAGACTGTAACCTGGAACCAGAGCCCGTGCAGGTGAGGTGCCCGGGAGCAGATGGCCGGGGCCCTGGGCCTCTGAGGGGAACGGAGCGGTGCACCCCGTGTAGGGGGAACACGCCAGCATTTATCAAGCGCCTGCGCTGGGCTCTTCACCCTGAGAGTCGCCTCACACCCCTGTCCCCGCTTAGTCATCAGAGGATGGACAGCGCTCGGGGCGCAGAGGCCGTGACCTGCTCTGCCTGGAGGGGACAGGACAGCATCCTAGGGAAGCTGGCGCTGAGGCTGGACTTTGGAGAGGCTGCAAGCTTCTGGAAGGAAAAGATGTCATGCTCCTCAGGAACGTAGTATAACTAAACATTTCATCACGGCTGACGTTCAGCACAGAAAAACGCGCCATCTCAGAAAAAGTCTACACCTGTACACTTCAGGGTAAGTGACCTCTACCATTCAGGACTGACATTAAAATGAGGTAGGTCTACTTTTCGCTAAGGAGAAGCCCTGCCCTCCGGATGTGCTTCTAACATCGCTTCCTTGTGGCCCGGGGGCCCTTGGACCCTGGCCACCAGCCCCCTCACCACTCACTCGTGCACGCCGGGGCCCCGCCGACATCCAGGGACGCTGACTTGGTGACAGAGGCAGTGAGCGAGGAGGAAATATGGCCTTGGTTTTCCTGATGAAATTTGTCCAGCAAAATGTCAATGTCGCCCTCTGCCCGAAACAGAATGGATAACAGAATCGGGTTTTCTTTCCACCTCGTGAAAGTTAGCAAACACCTAGGGACCCCCACAGTGGGGCAGGCCCCGCCCCGGGCCTGGGGAACGGAGATAAAGAAGACCTGGCCGACCTGCCGAGGAGCCCGAGCCTCGTGAGGAAATCACACAGTGACAGGCAGGTGCTAGGACAGAAGGGACAGTGGAGGGACAGAGGAACGGGTCCGGCCCATCCTGGAGAAGGGGGGACTGGGGGCGAGTAGCCAGCAAAGAGCAGAGAAGGGCATGCCCAGCACAGGACCCACGGGCAAGACACAGAGATCACCCTGCGCCCGTGAGAAGCTTCCCAGGCTTCAGAGGGGAGGCGGGACCACCTTGGAGACAGGCAGACAGCAACAGCCTCGAGTCCTCATCTGCCCCAAAAAGACAGAAACCACAAAGCCCAGAACCCACAGCCAGGGCAGGGAGATGGCAGCCAGGGACCATGCCAGCCGGGGACCATGCCAGCCGGGGCTATAAACACTAATACCCAGGCCAGAGGGGCCACCCCACACATCTGAATCAAGGGCAGACTCAGTGGGTCATGAGGGATGGGCTCCCCTTCCGTGTCTTTGTTTATTTCTGTCTGATCTATTCATGAACTCGCACCTGTCTCCCTCCAAGCCTACCTGGACAGAGGGTGCTAAAGAAGGCCCCCAGGGAGTCCACCTTCCCCGTCACCAGCTCGTAGCTGACTTCCTTCTGGTACTCCGCCGGGGTGAGCAGGCTCTCAGAGAGGATCCGGGCTTGGTATTTCCCTGGAAAACAAACAACTGTCGTGAGCCCTCCGTGTCGAATCGCGTGGGAGCTCCCGGCTGGAGGGCTGTGCCTGACCCTCTCCTGCTCTCCCCCAAGCCCAGCACCATGCCTGGCTCAGAGCCCGCGTCCGAGGAACGCATGGCCGACTCCATCCTGGCCCTGTGTCATCGTGGGGTAATAAGAGGGAAACCCAGAGTGCTGGCCTTGGAACCTGACTCTCCCCTGACCCCTTAGCTGTGTGACCCGGGCTGAGCTACTGAACCCTTCAGCCCCAGTGTCGTCATCTGGAAGACGGGGCTAACCGTAGCGTCTGCTGCGCGGGACCGTCCAGAGGAGAAAACAAGACCCCGTTTGTAAGACGCTTAGCCCAGTGCCTGCCACAGAGGGGCTCTGGGTTTACTACTGGGCGTACCACTCAAGTCCATGTAAGGTCATCATTACTAACACAGAATGTGCCCTGGCCGGTTGACTCCGCGGTTAGGGGTCAGCCCGTGGACAAGGAGTCGCGGGTTCGATTCCTGTCAAGGGCACCTACCTCGGTGGCGGTTCAGACCCCAGCCCTGGTTGGGATCGTGAAGGAGGCAACCAGCCGATGTGTCTTTCTCACATCAGTGTTTCTCTCTCTCTCCACCCCTCTCCCACTCTATCTGAAAATAAATGGAAGAATATCCTCAGGTGAGGGTTTTTTTAAACTACAGACTGAGTTTAGGGTCAACGAGCGGTTACAACTGGAGCGCAGTAACGTGAGCTTTCTAAAGTAAATTTTAAAAGAGACAGCATTTCGGGTTAAAATGGAAAGCCCCTGTTCCCGTCCTCATGGACGCTACCGCGTGGCTCGGGCGAGGCAGGCCCTCCTCCGCGGGGTGGCCCTTGCGTCCTCCCACACTCAACACAGGACCCCCCAGCAACCCTGGAGGCACCAACTTCAGCATACACCCAGCCTCTGGCCGCTGCTCTCCACTTCCACCCGCCTGGTCCCAGACGGCCAGGCCGGCTCCCATCCAGCACCTCCTCCCCAGTCATGCCTCCACCCCTGCAGTCTGTTCTCCACACGAACGGGCAACTCCTTCTGGAACAAGAGCCAGATGACATCTCTTCTCTGGTCAAAACCTTCCAGTGGTTTCCCAACTCGCACAGAAAAAAATCCAGAGTTCTGACGTGGCCTCGGCTGCCACATAGCCCCACGGCGCTGTCCTCTGCCCTGGCCATCCTGCTGTGCCCCCAAACACCAAGCGTGCATGCCGCCACATGGTACTGGGGGGCCCTGCGGCCGCCCCAATGTCGACATCATTTGCTTCCTCGATTCTCAGGTTCCTGCTCTGATGACATTCCATTGGAGAGGCTCTCCTGACCCCCTAACTGCACCCCTAACTGCACCCTCCCACCTCCGAGGCTCTGTGCTGGGTTGGGGTCCGACCCCCGAGCAGAACACTTGCTCCAGGGAAACAGGCCTGCAGTCCTGTACCCCCAGCCCCGACCACAGCTGCACAAAGTAGGGTTCAACAAGCGTTTTTATAGTTAATTCGTTAACGGGCTCCTTAACCCACACAGCACAGTGAGGTCACTGGTTTTTGTATTTGATTGTTTCCAACCTCCATTAGATAGAAGAAACGGTCTAGAAGGCCACATTGCAGGTGCCTAGGAAAGCCAGGCTTTCCACGGGTTTGTCCAGCTCCCAAAGTCGTCCCAGTGGGGGTGGGGGGGCTGCTCCCCATTCCATCACAGAGGAATGGGATTTTCACCAAGCTCACAGTCCGGCCCCAGCAGCTGGTACAGGAGGGCTACTGGGCACGCACTGCAGTCCCTATCTGACTGTCGCTGCAAACCCCAGGCCACGAGAAGCAAAAGGGGCAGAACTGCAAAGGAAGGCGACTGGGAAACCAAGGCAGCGGGGCGCGGGGGGGGGCCTCACCGGTGACGGCGATGCAGGAGTCGATGGCCGCGTTCCGGCAGGCGCAGATGATCACCACGTAGTTGGTCTTGGCCAGCTTGCCCTCGATGAGCAGCCGGAACATCTCGGAGAGGCCCTCGGCCAGCGAGTAGGTGCACTCGATGATGTGCACGCTGTCGTTGCAGGAGCTGGCGGCCAGGCCGGCCAGCCAGGGCAGCTGCGCCGAGGTGACGGGTGCCACGGCGCTGGGCGCGGGCGGGAAGGGCTGCGGCGGCGCCTGCTGGTACTGCCGGATCTCCGTCAGGTGCGACTCGCGCCAGGAGCGCAGGAAGATCTGCTCCAGGTCCTCCATCAGGGGCACCTGGTCCGCCGCTGGCAACACAGGGCGGGCGGAAGGGGCTTCAGCACGCGCCCCGCGCGCCCCACGAGCCCCACGCACCCCTCGCGCCCCCATGCGCCCCACGCGCCCCTCGCGCCCCCACACGCCCCTCACGCCCCACACGCCCCATGCGCCCCACGCGCTGGCTTCGTACAAATACACCAGGCAATTCTGGGGAAATGCACGTAAGCTAATTTTAAAACAACATAATCTACGTTGTTTATGTTGCATCGTGTCACAGGTCTCCGGGAAATACAGGGAGGAAGTGGGGCCAGAAAAGCAGCTATAATCTCACCATCCTAACAGAACCACAACTATTTTTGTATATTTCTCAGTATCTGCACCGACCCACCCCACCCCCACAGGCAGGTTTTAAATCGCGGTCAAGATTATGAGCCTACAGCTTCAGGGCTGGTCCATTTTCCCTCCCATTACATCCTAATCAGTTTCCATGCTGATGAACATCTTCATAAACGGCACCGATAATGGGCAAAGGATGTTCCATCATACGGATGTACCTTCATTTATTTAGCAATGTCCCTAATGTTGGTCCTTTTATTGCCTCCAAAGCATCACCATTATAAATAATTCTGCAGTGCACATCTTTTTGTATAGGACATAATGTCCTCAGCCTAAACTCTCCAACATGAGCTTACAGAGCCGATGACTCCACATCATCAGACTTTTTCTAGATGGTCCAAACACGCCACCTTACCACCACGTGAATGGCGCATGATGATAATGGTTTCACTCGAGTTGCCGTCAATAATTTAACTGAGAAAAATTCTATGTGTCTGATTTGTTCATTTGCATCTCTGCATCCCTATAATGACCAGTGAGATTGAATCCTTTTCAACATTTGTTTCCTGCTGGTATTTTCTGGTGTATGGGTCCACGTTTTCTATTTGGGTGAGCTGGGAGAAAGAACGCCACACTTCTACTCAGAGGACGTGTTCCCACCCAGCCCCACCCAGCACCGGCTGCAGAGCCCTGAGCTCTCCTACGACAGTTTCCTGATCTGAACAAGTGGGGGTCACACCATCCACTCACGGGGCTGTGTCCAATTATACTGGATTTGCTATTCCATCTCCCATGTTTAAAATCTTTCCCATGAGCCCACAACCCCTTCCAGAACAACCCCCCCCCCCCCAAGCTCCAGGGACTGTCCACAGCTGCCACACCCCTCTCCAATCCACTCCCATATGGTTTCCGTCCCCACACTCCTCGTACACCCCCCGTCAAGGTTGCAGATCACTTCCATATGCCCAAACCAACAGTCAGCGATCAGTCTTCACTCAGCTCTCGGCAGGTAAAGCATTTTCTAACTATCTCCGCAGATTCTGACCTGTTTTAAGCCCTTCCCAGCCCCCCGGGGCGGTGACCGCGGCAGCCCCTGATAACATCCGCCGGCCTGTCCCCTGTACCTCACTTGCACCAGCCAGAGCTGCTCTGCACAAGGGCTGTCAGTGAGGGCCAGTGATGAAGGCACGACTCCCGCGGCTCCCGTAGCCGGCACTCCCCCGAGGCTCCCGCCGAGGGAGGGACTCACCCAGCTGGACCAGGTAGTAGACGGTGAGCAGCAGCTGCATCTCCTCCGAGATGGGCTGTATGGCGGAGGCTCCGTACTGCTCGTAGGCTCTGGAGATGGACTGGGAGTTCTGGTAGCACGCGTACAGCAGCGGGCTCACCACCACGTCGCTCAGGTTGCCGCACAGGTAAGGGAAGTTCCCGTGGCCTGCGGATGAAGAACAGCATCCGCTGGTCCTCTGGCCTCGGGCCGACCTGGGGCCCACGACTGGATCTCTGCGTGTGAGGGAGTTCAAGCGCGGGCGAGCTGCCTCTACGTAACCCAAGCGCCTTCTTCAGGGAAACCTCGGCCGTCCTGCCCTGCGGATCTGGAGTCCCTGCTCTCACAACTAACCGGGCAGTCACATCTGCTGGTTCATTCAGTCCGATCCCTTATTTCACAGGTGAGCAGGGAAGGCCCAGAGAGCCGTGCTGAGGCTGGACGGCCACCCCGGTGCTGCTCCTTCAGCACCGACTCAGGAGCCCCTCGTGTGGGTGACGCCTTCTGGATCTTTGCCAGGACTCGCCGGCCGAGCCTCCCCAGCGACTCGTGGAATTCTGTCTGCCCCAGTCCTCCCAGAACTCTCTGACAAGCTGAATTTGGAAAATAAATCCCTGTGCAGACCAGAGATGCTGCAAACGGACAGACTTGACACAGGCTTTAACAAACCTACAAGACTCGTTCCGTGGTCAACTCTCCGAGACGGAAGAGCCCAGGCCAGGTTCGAATCTCCTCTGTGCCCTTCATGAGCTACGTGACCCCAAGCGAGAAGCTTAACTTCTCTAAGCCTCCGCCTCCACATTGTGAAACAGAGATAAGAAGTTCTCATGGGCTTCCTGAGATAAGCAAATGTAGCATGAGTGTCCCCCGAAAGGCTGGGCCCCACCACAGAGCTTCTGGTGCAGGAAGGGCGGCTGACCCTAATTCTGGGGTGGGTTTGGGAAGCCACACCTCTGATAAGGTCTGGGTGGTGCTGGTTCTCCTGGCCCACGGCCCTCAGGGTGGGCAGTACTGCTCATGGATATTATGGCGGATAAGAGGCAACATAAAGAAGCAGTTCAAAAGGCAGGATGTGGCCCTGGCCGGTTTGGTTCAGTGGTTAGAGCGTGGGCCTGCGGTACTGAGAGACCCGGGTTCGGTTCCCGCTAAGGGCGCGTACCTCGGTTGCAGTTTGTCTGGTCGGTTGTACGGGTGGCAGCCACTCGATGTGTTCCTTTCACATCGATGTTTCTCTCTCTCTCTCTCTCCCTCCCACTCTACCTGAACAAAATATGGAAAAATGTCCTCGGGTGAGGGTAAAAAAAAAAGAAAAAAGGCAGGATGTGGCATTTGGCGTAAAAGAGGCACAGCAAAACTGCAGTGGGACCCAGATAAAAGGGAAACGGAGGTGGCTTCACAGAGAAGGCCCGGGTGGGTCTGCACTCACAGGCAGGCCTGGGCACACGGTAGTGGGAGAAGGGGTCAGGGACCAGCTCACGACAAAGAGGGACTCAGCCGAAACAGAGGGGCCGTGACAGGAGGCACAGTGAGCTCCAGGAATGGGGCTGCTGGGCCCCCGCCCCACCTCTTCGAGGCTGCTGGCCCACAGCGTCAAGATCTGCATCCTGCCTCGCTGTGTCCTTGTCAGCGTGTTCTAGGCCTACCGCAGGCGCGCGTGGCCTTGCGACTCGGTGCTGACCTTCGCTTTGGTTAGAAACGGCCTCGTTCTAAACCCAGGTCGGCACCCTTCTTCCTGAGTACCCTGTCCATTTTTAGTTTTAAAGGAAAAGAATGCCCTCTCTTATTTCTTTTTTGTTGTTGTTTTGTTTTTGGGTTTTTTTTGTTTGTTTTTTATCCTCACCCGAGGACATTTTCCCATTTTTTTGTTCAGGTAGAGTGGGAGGGAGAGAGAGGAACAGAGAGAGAGAGAGAAACATCAATGTGAAAGGAACACATCGAGTGGCTGTCACCCACACGACCGACCAGGGCCGGGGACAAACTGCAACCGAGGTACGTGCCCTTAGCGGGAACCGAACCCGGGTCTCTCCGGACCGCAGGCCGACGCTCTAACCGCTGAGCCAAACCGGCCAGGGCTCTTATTTCTTTCTTAAATTCTTTTTTTTTTTTTTAAATCCTCACCCGAGGACATTTTTCCATTTTTTGTTCAGATAGAGCGGAGGGAGAGAGAGGAAGAGAGAGAGAGAGAAACATCGATGTGAAGGGACACATCGAGTGACTGCCACCCGCACGACCAACCAGGGCCGGGGACAAACTGCAACCGAGGTATGTGCCCTTAGCGGGAACTGAACCCAGGTCTCTCTGTACCGCAGGCCGACGCTCTAACCGCTGAGCCAAACCGGCCAGGGCTCTTATTTCTTAATAACAGTGTGATTACCTCTCCTGCTCTCCTACCACCCTCTCTCCTTTTTCTACAAACATGGTACCAATACAGTGTGAATGTACTTAAGGCGCATGTGTGCAAGTCTGTGTGTGCATGTGTGTGCGTGAGCACATGTGTACATGTGTGTGTGTTATTAGATGCCAGCACACAGTATGGGTGGGCCATCATCAAACCAATCAGGCCAAGTCCTCACATCTCAAGGTCTCCCACTTCATTAGAAAAAGGGATTTCTGGGTTTTTTTATCCTCACCCGAGAACATTTTTTGCATTTATCTTCAGATAGAGCGGGAGGAAGAGAGAGAGAGAAACATCGATGTGAGAGAGACACATCGAGTGGCTGCCACCCACACAACCCCAACCAGGGCCGGGGACAAACTGCAACCAAGGTACGTGCCCTTAGCAGGAATCGAACCCGGGACTCTCTGGTCCGCAGGCCGACGTTCTGACCACTGAGCCAAACTGGCCAGGGCGAAAAAGGGATTTCTTTTTAGTTCGGCCCCAAATCGACCCCCACGCAGCATACATTAGCCAAGTGCACAAAACAGCGATCAAACCTAGTTTTGTTTCATGCTTCCCCACACTAACCATGGCTACCTCTGCCCGACCAAAGTCAGAATTCAGATCAAAAACGCCCGTGGCATCGGGTGACAGCACGACCATCCCAGACTGGGGCTCCTGGTCTCATAAGTGAGCAGGCGGAGGAGCCACGTGTCACCCCCGGTGCTGAGCCCGAGCCCGTCCTTGTGGCAGGAGCTCAGTGAGGGTGAGCGGGGGAAGGAAGGAAAGAACGAATGAACCAGCAAGTGCACATCATGGACCAGAATCATTCCACTCAGGCCTGTCGTGGGAACTGTGACGAGCTCCGTCGCTGTTGGCACCTGATCGGGGGCTACGGCCACGACTGGTCTGCTTGGTTCTTTCGTGGCCCTGGAAAGAGTTTGACTGATTGCTCAGGACCTCCCCCTTGGCGTGGAGCGACGTCCGGATGTTGCCCGTTTCTCACGCCTTCCTCTAGCCACACCCCCCACCCGCACCGAGAGCCGGACTTGCCTTTAAATATCACCGGCTTGGCCTTGCATATCTTCAGCAAGTTGTCGGGGACAGACACTGGCTCTCCGGAGGCCACCACGGGAAAGGTGACGGAAGCTGGTCCCACCAAGCCAACCTGGGGCACGCAGGACATGCCCGCGCTCTCTGGAAACACACCGAGTGTCAGGAAGACACACAGACGAGACATCCCTCTCCAGCAGACTTGACGTCAGGCCAGCCAACACCTCTCCTACAACTTGACCCATAGCCCCCACCCCGCCTCCACCCCTGCTACGGGAGCACCCAAGACGTGTAATCACAAAGTCTCTGGTCAAAAGTATCTTGAAGGTCACTTAGTCTAACCTTCCCCACCCTATGACCCCGTCTCCTCTTCAATAACCCTGACAAGTGACAGGTAAGCTCCTTTAAAATCCCTTTGGGAACAGGGAACTCACTACTGTGCGGGGATTCTGGGCCTTGGGAAGCAACTCTGAGACACAGAAAGAGAGCCTATAGTGGTACCAAAGTCAGCCTCCCTAGACATTTCTCACCAACAGGCACAAAAATGCACATGCACACACGCACACATGCCCACACACACACACGCACACATGCCCACACGCACACACGCCCACCAGCAGCGCAGCCACTGCTGGTACCTGAGCCTTGATTTTTGGCAAACCTCTCGTCACTTACCATACTTAGCTCTGTTCCCACCACCCTGGGGGTAGCCACCGTCTGCAGCCGAGGGAGACTCTGGAGACCACCCTTTGTGGCGCTTTTTGGGGGGCCCGGAGTTTGAGAAGATACCTAGACAACATTTAGAGTGTGGATTAGGCTGTCCCCCCCGACTCGGAGGTCACTCATTTGCTATATTTTACAATCACAGTCACGGTGGGTTTAGCATCTATTGGAGCATCCTGGCATAAGGAGACATCCTGTTGGCCTCTGTAAATGCTTCATTCCAAAGCCGTGCAGGTGTAGAAGCTTCAACTGGAGACTTAGCTCCTTCGCCTTTAAATTGAGATGATGAAACGTACTCGGAAAGGTGCCCTGGCCAGGACCACAGAGAATATATGTGAAGTACAGAGTGCGGGCCCGGTGAATGGATGCCACCCGGACCCACAGCCTCAGCAGCAGCAGCTCCCGTTTCCCTGTATTAACACGTTCCCGGAGACAAGCCGCAGCACATTCACTGCACTGCTGCAGTTTCACCACTTGGGGGCAGTACCGATCCACCAGTGTTCCTGTCCCCACTCCAGCCTTCAAAGCTCATTTCAGACTAAAAAAAATCAAGGGGAACAGAAGTTGTACCCACTGCTGTTAATGAGTCATCCTGCCCACGCTGGATGAGAGCATGCCTGTGACTCACGCCATGTTCGTGGGTTATTCAAAATATCAAAAATTAGTTACCGTATTTTTTGGACCAATTCTTGGATGCAAAATTTCTCCTACATTTAGAGCTACACGTTCAACCCTGACGGCACCTTAAACTCACTGGGAAACGTTCAGAATCCTCCATGGCTGAGCAGCCCCACCCCATGTAAACCAGGGCCCCAGCATCTGGGTGGGGAAGGAACGGGCAGGCCCGTGAGCTCCAGGCTCCCCGTGAGTCTCAGGCCTCACCAGGGCAAAGAACCACCCTTCTGGGCAGCGTTTCTCTGAGTCTGGCCTGAGACAGAGCTGGACAGGACCAGCAGGGCCCTGTTAAAACCGTCCTCTCCTGGGCCCCGCCTGGGCCTGTAGCATCGACGCTCTGGAAACATCTCTGGGGAGGGAGAAACACCTCCCGCAAGGGTGCCCAGGCTCACTGCAGCCAGGCTGATTGCCCTAAATCTCAGAAAGGAACCCAACACTCTTCACCTCTTCTTCAGACGGATAGCACATGAGTTTTAATACTGAATAAACACTTAACAACACATTGCCCTGGCCGGTTTGGCTCAGCCGTTAGAGCGTCGGCCCACAGACTGAAGGGTTGCGGGTTCGATTCTGGTCAAGGGCACATACCTCAGTTGCGGTTCAGTCCCTGGTCCTGGTGGGGATCATTCGAGAGGCAACCAATTGATGTCTCACATTGATGTTTCTCTCTCTCTCTCTCCCTCCTACTCTGTCTGAAGATAAATGGAAAAAGTATCCTCGGGTGAGGATTAAAAAAAAGAGTTGAAAACATAAAGCACTTCGTTTACAGAGAGTGTTCAAACAGGGGCTCCTGTACCCCACAACCTCCGAGACAGCTGCTGTTCTCATGGCTCCGCGTAGACCACAGCCTCTGCCAGTGTCGGCGGAAAAGGCCCCACCAAGCCCGCGGTGCCGTCCGCCAACAACCGCACTAAACTGCGGAGCGGCTGGGCCTGCTAACAGCGGGAGATCTACAGATGTTCCCCCCTTTGGGACGCTGACCCGAACTGCCTCTGGGCCCAAGAACTCTCCCGAAACGTCACCAGGAGCTGCCCCCGTGGCACCAGCGTCTCCTCGTGGTGGGGGCACGACTTGGCATTTTGGGTGAGACTCAGGAGGCACCTGCTGACCTGGCCAGACTCTCCTTCCAAGCAACACCAATTCTAGGAGAATCCCAGGCCCGCCCGAGGCTTTGACCCAGACAAGGGCGGCTACCTAGCGCCGAGGGCCGTGGCACGGCCGACAGCTTGCTCTTCACCAGCTGCTGGTGCTTCGGAGAGTCTTGGCCGTTGAAAACAGCTGGGCTCGTCGCTGCGGTCAGTGAGGGGTGATCAGAGGCTGGTCCTGAGCAAAGAGAAAGAGACACAACAGGTCAGTCACCGCACGTTCTGAGCCCAGCAAGCTGGGCATGACTGTTCTTCCATCTTTTCCAACTAGCTTTTCTCTGACGAGGCCCACTGCGGGGGTCAGACTCCTGACACAGTGATGCTGCCCTTCTGAGGAAACATACGCACACACACGCACGTGCACACCCGTGCACACACGCTCCTATGGTGAGCGCTCCCTGTGGGAAGGGCCAGTGGGGCTCTGGGAATCCAGGACTGGCCCCGAGACTGGCCCAGCTCCCTCGACCTTCTCCTTCACCCTCCAGACTCAGGTTCGCATCAGACAGGCTCAGGGGAGCTGAGAGGTGAGGGCACCGAGGTCCAGGCTGGGGCTCCCCGGGTCTGAGGATAATTCCGGGGGCATTCATGGGTCCTGCTTTTCTGAAGCTCGCCGCACTAGCTGGGGAACCCCCTCAAACTCCCTCCGCTTCCACTTCCTCCTCCATAAAACGGGCTCGCAGCAGAGCCGTGTGAAGACGGCGTGAGTTAACAGTCACGTCCGTGGAGGAGTGTGACCGGCAGAAGCGCTAAGATCTGCTCTCACGCAACCTCCTTAACTCGTACAACCCCTGCCGGCGAGAACAGATTTCCTCCAGTCTTCAGATGAGGAAACAGACTCGGCGACCCGAAATGACTTGCCCCGAATCCGCCAGCAGAGAAGTGGCCACACCCCTCCTCCCCGGGCATTCTGGTGCCAAAGCGCCGTCTCTCCTGTCGCCACGGCGGCAGCCTGGGCACAGTGAGGACAACGGCAGATACCAGACGCCACTGGAGAGGGCGGTGTGGTAGCTGGAGGAGGGCGTGTCCCCAGCCCAGGTGCAACCTCTTGGTTACGGAGGGGATGCGCCAGGTGGGCACCAGGTGGGCAAGGGCTCTGGCGCCCCCTCTCGGCTGTCTACAGACCCTCTGGGCGGGATAATGAAAACCACCAACCCCCTTGAGTCCCTGGGAAGGCTGCCACCTCCCGTGGTAACGACCCTCATGTTTCTCAGGTCTGCTCAGAAGGGCGGATCGCTAAGCCCCTCAACCAGAAATGCGTGCGTCAGATCTGAACTCTGCCCCTGCTGCTCGTGAGATCCAGACCAGCGCCAGGGCCTGGATCCCCAGGCAGTGCCATGGGAGACGAAGGCCTGCTGGCAGGGGGCCCGTTGGGGGTTGACGAGTACCCACAGCGGGGCACACTGAGCACGGCACGAAGCGGTCGAGTCTCACCTGCCCCTCCCAGGGCCCAGCTCCAACACGGACTTGGCGCCCATTACAGAGCGAGCTCCATGCTGCACACTGGGGGTGCAGAGGGACCCCCACCCCCGGGTCACGTGACATAGCTAACAGGAACACAGAACACCTTTCCAAGTTAAAAATAAAGCATTCTGTGTCGAAAACCATCCCAAATTCAGGACGACATGCAAAGGCGTTGCGGAGAAAGAGACCACAAAGCGCACCCCTGTTTATCTTGAGGGTTTGGCTGCATAAAAATCCCAGCAGACTTGCTGGTGGCTGCTCGGCCGCCTCACCTGCCGGCGGGGCCCCCGGAGGAATGCTGGCGTTGGTCCCGGGCGTGGGCTCGCTGGAGAAGGCAGCCAGGGGCCCAGAGCTGTCCAGCGGCGGGAAGAGGGAACTGGAGCAAGGGCCGGCGGTGGTCGGCCGGCCTCTGAACTCTACAGGACAAGACACTGCGGTGAAAACCAGCTCACTGCTCCCCCGCTAGTTACAGATGATCGCCCAGGCTGGGTCTGTCCTGCAGGAGAGCCAGGTACACAGACAACCGCCGTGGGGCCAACAACACCCTGCTCTTGGCTGCAGTGCAGCTTGGGGGGGAGGGGGTGACAACCCCCGCAGCTGCACGCCAAGGGCAGGGGTCCATCCCAGGGACACTCTGACTGTCGGGAGAGGACAAGAGTGACATTTGGGGAAGAGAGAAAAACAGATGACACACACGCATCATCCAATCGCTGCCCTTCAAGTCCAAGGAGAGAACAGAGTATCACTCAAAGGTATGTCAGGCCAACACCTTCCTCCGGCCTGTGAGTTCCCCTCCGGCCCAGGGACGTACCTAACCTTCAAGGTGCAAGCAATCAAAACCCTCCGCTGGTCCCACAGGGGAAGAACCACTGCCTTCCCGGGGCCTAGAAAATGACTGGGGCGTAGTAGCGGCTCCAGAAATAGTTACTGAGTGATGTAAGGAAACGAGAGAAGGCAAAGGCGATGGGGGGGGGGGGGGGAGGAACGCCCAGACCAGCCCCTCCTGAAGCCCCTGTTCTGCTCATGGAAGCCGCTGGGAGATTCCAGGTGACTGGACGTGAACCCACAGGGGTAGGTGAGGGACAGACGGCTGGTTCTCCTGGTCGTCTCACTGAGAACCTTCTAGAACATGCCCCTACACACTGGCTAAGGGGGGAATGTCAGGGAGCTCCCGTGCCTGGGCCTCTGAAATCTACCCCTGTGCCTCCCCTGCACAGCTGACTGTGGTCATGTGCCCTGTCCCACAGTGGGGACAGAGGGGAGCGGTGGAGCCCAGTGACTTCTTCAAGGACTGGGAGAGTGGAGGGGACATTATTTAAGCCAAGTTTCTCTAAATTGGGACTTCGCAACTTGGCACCACAGCATGGAGACCAGGTGACCCTGAGGGCATCCTATGAGCTGCGGGGTGTTCGGCACCCCTCTGTGCTCCACCCATCGGATGCAGGAGCACCCTCCAGTCAGGACCGTCAGACATCTCTGCAGGCAACGCCAAATCTTCCCTGGGGGCAAGTTCACCCCAACTCGAGAACCCTCCAAACACTTGCCACAAGAAGGTACAGGCTGGTGTGGCCCTCTGTCAACTTTTAAATGGCCCACACAATTAGGCTGCCGCTAGACGCTGAACAGCCGTCGTGCAAGTGGCATTTGAACTCCACCCGCTGGCCTCTCTGCTAAGTCCTGCAGACAGCACCTTCTCACCTGAGCCTCTCCAGCAAATGAGAGGGCCTTTGGTCAGAGCCCCTTGGGCATTGCGCACCAGGTAATACTTCAGGTGTTTCTGTTTCTTGGGCTGAGTGGTCAACTTAAGATTTATGTGATTGGAGAATTCCGTGAAGTAACAGAAGCCTTTCTTTCCACAGCCGACACAATTCCCAGAGAAGCCTGGAGGAAGAGACAAACCATGAACACCTTCCGGCTGACCTCCAAAGCCCTCCTCAAAAAGCACGCAGGTCACAGAAACTCGGACCACCCACGTTCTCTACATCACCCAGAGTCTCCCACAGGGCAAAGGTCCCCATCGTCTTGGGCTGGCCCAGCCTTGACTCCACCGGAAGGACCAAGAAGACTTGGCCGTAGCGATGGACCCAGGCAAGCGTGGAAGACGGAACCTGCTTAGGAGTCTATCTGAAAACCTGTACGCGGAGCGACCTTGACAGACGAGAGCGGTCTCGCGCAGGGGGTGACCTGGCCTGCCCCCACCTCCCAGTGCGGGCCAGTTACCGAACCTCAGCATTTGCGTCCTGACATTAGAGGCAGGAGACGACCTCTTGGGAGTCCATATCCCATCCGGAGTCAAGACATTGGACCCCGTGAGTTGCTGAAAAGAAATTAATTCAGGTCCCCAGTGCCTGGCCAGGGCCGTGGCGAGGGAATTCGGGGCTCGGCAGCCAGTGCAGCAAAGACGCTACAATGTGGCCACCACGGAGTCAGTGCCCTGCCGCCCGAGGCCAGGTGGGCCTTTCTGAGAGTTGACAGAGGCTCCCACCGCTGTGGGGCCCTGGGAAGGCGGTCTGTGCAGCGGTGATGGCGAAACTACCTCCTGCGAACTATCGGAGTCCCGAGAACAAGCTTGAGAACAAGTCAGGAGCTGCAAAGTCTGTTCGGACGCAGAACTGCTGGTTACTGCCAGAGGAACGTGACAGGCGGCTTTTCCACCTGGTGCCCGCCGGTGCCTCTGCTTTCCATGGCACAGGCGCTTTGGGAGGGGCCCTGGGGCTGAGACTAGTGTATCCGATCGTATTCTCTGGCTGATAAGTTCACAGAGGTCATTTCAACTTAGGCCATGTGCCTCTGCTAAGTTCTGCTTTGATATTTTTTTTCCTTTTTGATATTAGAGAGAGAAAGAGAGAGAGAAACATCGATGAGAGAGAACATCGATTGGCCGCCTCCTGCATGCCCCCCACTGGGGATTTGGCCCACAACCTGGGCACGTGCCCTGACCGGGAATTGAACCAGCGACCTCTTGGTGCAGGGTCGACGCTCAACCACTGAGCCACACCGGCCGGGCAAAAGTTCTGCTTTTAAACAGAGTATTCCTGAGACCTCCAGCTAATGTTCAAAATAACATCAGTTGGTTCAAAACATCTCCACAGAGAGGACACATCTCCACAGAGAGAAGACACATCTCCACAGAGAGAAGACACATCTCCACAGAGAAGACACATCTCCACAGAGAGAAGACACATCTCCACAGAGAGAAGACACATCTCCACAGAGAAGACACATCTCCACAGAGAGAAGACACATCTCCACAGAGAGAAGACACATCTCCACAGAGAGATGACACATCTCCACAGAGAAGACACATCTCCACAGAGAAGACACATCTCCACAGAGAGAAGACACATCTCCACAGAGAGATGACACATCTCCAGAGAGAAGACACATCTCCACAGAGAAGACACATCTCCACAGAGAGAAGACACATCTCCACAGAGATGACACATCTCCACAGAGAGGACACATCTCCACAGAGAGAAGACACATCTCCACAGAGAGAAGACACATCTCCACAGAGAGAAGACACATCTCCACAGAGAAGACACATCTCCACAGAGAGAAGACACATCTCCACAGAGAGAAGACACATCTCCACAGAGAAGACACATCTCCACAGAGAGAAGACACATCTCCACAGAGAGATGACACATCTCCACAGAGAGAAGACACATCTCCACAGAGAAGACACATCTCCATAGAGAAGACACATCTCCACAGAGAGAAGACACATCTCCACAGAGAGAAGACACATCTCCACAGAGAGAAGACACATCTCCACAGAGAGAAGACACATCTCCACAGAGAGAAGACACATCTCCACAGAGAGAAGACACATCTCCACAGAGAAGACACATCTCCATAGAGAAGACACATCTCCACAGAGAGAAGACACATCTCCACAGAGAAGACACATCTCCACAGAGAAGACACATCTCCACAAAGATGACACATCTCCACAGAGAGGACACATCTCCACAGAGAGGACACATCTCCATAGAGAGAAGACACATCTCCACAGAGATGACACATCTCCACAGAGATGACATATCTCCACAGAGAGAAGACATCTCCACAGAGAGAAGACACATCTCCACAGAGATGACACATCTCCACAGAGAGAGAAGACATCTACATTACAGAAACCAGTGGGTTCTCTGATCTGTTTTAAGCAAATTTAATATTCCTTAAAAGGCCTTAGCAATAAGGACCAACATCTCGGTCTAGCCACAGGACAGGTACAGGTGGGTTTAACCTTCCAGAACCCTATTCCCTCTACACCAGAGCAGATAGGTAAGGCTCCAAAGAGACGTCCACCCCTGTGCCCTATGTTTACTTGCTTTTCAAAGGCACCGGAAGGGAACTGACATCCAGAGAGAAGCAGTGACATTCTTGCCCATCCACTGTCATCCAGACAGGTCACTGAGCTTAACAATAACCGGTCAATCAGGACAGCAAACCTTTTTTTGGAAAACCTGAGGACCAGAGAGGCTGAGTCACAGTCTAAAGTAAGACAGAAAGTGTGGCACTGGAGTCTAGCTGAGGGTGAAGTCCAGACATGGCATCCACGTCTGCCCCACGACCCTCGTCTCCAGCTGTATTTCCTGGACCTCACTCTGCTGAGCCTAGTTCCAATGGACCCCCCGCCCACTTCCACCACCTCCCCCTGCAGCACATACTCTTCCTCATTCAAGTCCCACCTGCACGCACTCTGCCCATCACTCAACACTCAGTCCAAATGCCCACTCCTCCAAGGACTGCCCCGTCCCAAAGGGGTTCTCCAGACCCCACTGTCTATTTATATTGCTCAGAGGGCCCTGTACCTTCTTCCTACTTTAGTAATGTAGTTACTGAGATTCCCGTCTTTTTCCCCACTACTATCCCCCGCTTCCAAAGCACCGGGTTCACGGCGTGACCGCGTGGAGCTGTGAGTTGTGTTTGTGGACATAGCTGTATGTGCAGACTAGTGCTCAGCACCGGCAGATCAGCAGTAACCATCAGGAGGGAAGGAAGAAGACAGGAAACAAGGTAACTGTAAGAGCAAACACCGGAAGATTCCTGCTTACACTTTGAGGTAACAATCTAACGTCGTTATTGATCCCTTTGTCTCCGAAACGGGAACCTTGAGATAAACAGCTCAACTGCCACCTAAGAATAAGGTCCGGAGAAACCTTCCGAGCTCCTGGAAAGGATTCTACCCCGAGTGTTGAAAAGATGGATGAACAGGAAACAGAACCACAAGACTGAGGGCGCTGAGAGCGATTCCCCAGGCCAGCACGACCAGCCGTCCATAAACAGACTGGAGGCCTTTGTCCCATGAGAGATGTGGGCTGTGGGGTCGTTTCAGAAGCAGCGACGGGAACCACAGACCGTAAAGGCGCCTCTTTGTGGTTCCAAAATGAAAGTGGAGACCTCAATCGTCCTGGTATAGTGAGTACTTAGGGAGCCAGCAAGCAAACTGCTCTCCTGTATTGGCAAAAACTTTCTGGCCAGGAGAACCCGCTGCTCTTCTGAGAGCTGACCCTGGGCCACGGAAGGCCCACCAGAGAACCACAGCACGGCTTACCAGCCGGGCCCAGGAGACGGGAAATGGTTTAAACCACCCCAGCCAAACATAGGCGATAATTCTAATCTTACAAGAAATTGTCTGAAAGGCAGTAAAAGTTTCCACGAGGAAGAATATAATAAGCCATTCTCTTTGGAAATCTCCCTCGGGACGTGGAAGTCTGTAATAATCTGTTTAGAAGTCAGGCCTAGAAAGCATGCCATATAGCCCGAGTCCCCAAATTCCTGCCAGGCACACATATCCAGACCGTCAATGTGCTGCCCCCCGGGAAATACCCCGTAACAGTGAATTGCTCCTGACCACACACAGCGGCACTGCCGGATTTTCCCTCGGGCCCAGTTCTGCTGTGTTTGGCGGCTGCGGGTGGCATTTCTTTGACAAGCATATTCTGAACAGGTGCCTGTGTGTGCCGGCCACCAAGCCAGGCTCTCCCTTCTGTTGGAAAGAAAGATCCTGTCCCCGTCCCTCTTCACTGCCGTGGAGCAGGCCCACACTTTCCAATCAGAGGGGCCTGGGTTCAAATCCTGACTCCCCACTCATGTGCCTTCAGGCAGGTTCATTAACATCTCTGAGCTTTGTGAGAACAGCCGACATTAATTTCGCACTGATCAGATGCCAGGCACTGAGCCAAGCACTTTACACTATAAATGTTCTCGCTCAAATCTCCAGAAGCCCTATAAAACAATTCGTAGGTTCCCCAGTTTACGGATGTGGGAATCAGGCACAGAGAGAAGGGAACTCGCCCATGGGGCGCGGGGTAGGAAGTATGGGAATTGGGACTGCACCATTCTGCTATGGCATGTCCTCATAAAAACCCACCCTGGAGGAGCATGAGCAGAGCAAACTGACTACTCTATGTTCAGCACATAGTAGGTGCTCAGCAAAGGGCATGTCTTCCCCTCTCTGGGACAGACACAGCTGTACTGGAGAGCAGAGCTCAGGGTGGGTCAGGAGACTGAGGTCTGACCCTACCTACGCCCTCACAGTGCTGAGAGATTTGGGGAGGTGGCTCACTCCCTCCGGGGTCCAGTTTCCCAACCATAAGAGGGACGATGAGGACTAAATGAACCCCATGCGTCCTTCCAGAGCCAACGTTGCATATTTCTTCTTTAAAGCACCCACAGCGCTTCCTTCGGGCGCAGCCGGTGGCTGCTGAGCACACAGCTAATGGCAGGCGCAGGAGGCTCACCCGGGACCAACCCCAGGGGTGCTGATGGCACATGCTCGGAGGTTCCAGCTATCAGGATACCGTAATTACCTGGAATCCTGCCACAGGCTCATAACGAGTTCCCCTGCCTCCGTTTCTCTTTTAATAAAAATCAGTTATTCACCCTGGCCGGTTTGGCTCAGCGGTTGGAGCGTCAGCTCATGGACCAAAGAGTCGCTGATTCGATTCCAGTCAAGGGCATGTACCTCGGTTGTGATCCGGTCCCCAACCCTGGTCGGGGTCGTGCGGGAGGCAACCAGTCTATGTGTCTCTCTCATGTCAATGTTCCTCTCTCTCTCTCCTCTCTTCCTCTCTCTCCCTCTCCCCCTGTATCTGATGATAAATGGAAAAATATCCTCGGGTGAGGATTTTTTTTTAAAAAATCAATTATTCATGTGACCAAGAAATCTTCTTAAATCGTAAATTAAACCATAGTAACTATTTGAATACTTTCAATGTTTTTTTTAAATATAAACTGTATGGCCCTGGCCAGTTTGGCTCAGCGGATAGAGCGTCAGCCCACGAACTGGAGAGTCCTGGGTTCAGTTCCCGCTAAGGGCATGTACCTTGGTTGCAGTTCATCCCCGGCCCTGGTTGGGGTTGGTAGGTGGCAGCCACTTGATGTGTCTCTCTCACATTGATGTTTCTCTCTCTGTCTCTCTCTCTTCCTCCCTCTCTCCCTTCCACTCTGTCTGAAGATAAATGCAAAAAATGTCCTCGGATGAGGATAAAAAAAATAATTAAAAAAAATATATAAACTGTACAGGGAAAACTAGGAAGGAAGGACATATACATGAAGAGAGGAAATAAATAAGACAGACATAACAGCCACTTGCCTTGGAAGACTCTCATTTGGATCTTAATTTAAAAGACCAACCGTAAAAACATCATAAAACAAAATTTGAACACACTGGAGATTTGAGACTATTGAGGAATCAATGTCAAATGTTTGGGGTGTGTTGGTGTTATTGGGTTTCCAACAAAAAGCCCTTGTCTTTTAGAGACACGTATTGAATCGCTTCCAGATGAAGTGACATGATGTCTGGCATTTGCCTCAAAGTCATTTGGAAGGTCGAGAGGAGGGAACAGTCGTAAGTGAAACTGGGCCGGCCACATGTTAGTAGCTGCTTAAGACAAAAGACAGACACGTCAGACTATTACGTCTCCTGCCTAACCCTACAGTTTGCAAACAAACTGGATACTGCAGCCTTTTCCAAGCAGGACCCGACTGACCCCCATTCTGCAGCCTCTGCCGCGGCCACAGGAGGCTCTGGCCACCCCTGCAGCATGCCCAGCTCCTTCACCCAAGACGTCCCTCTACCTGACATGCCCTTTGTCCTCTAGACATGTGTGCCAGGGCCCGTCATTGGGATTCAAATCCAGGGCCTGCTATTTACTAGCTGGGTGACCCTGAGCGAGGCGGTAAACCTCTCTGTGTCTCAGTTTCTTCATCTATAAAGGCCAGATAAGACTGTGCCCACCCCACCAGGTTCTGTGAACTGAGAATACTTCCTGGCACATGTTAGTTCTCAATAAAGTAGCCGCGGTTAATGTTGTTCTTCAAATAGCAAGGTTTCACTCATTTTTGAGGGCCTAACGCATACACCACCTCCCCCGAGAAGGCTTTCCCATCATTGGGAGCTGTGTCCCCTCCGCGATCCCCAAACACTTCCCAGCCTGGGCGACAGCTTTGTTTCGGGGGTCGTCTGGCGGGTCTCAGAGGCTGTGCGCCTGTGTTCTCCTACCAGACGCCGAGCTCACAGAGAAAGACCAGGTCCGGCTTGGCTTTGGGGTCCCAGGCTGAACTTAAGGTCCCCCTTCAGTTTGGGGTTGCACATTCCAAAGATGCTTAATTATTTGCCTGCTGAATGAACCAAAAAACTCACTTACTCCCATCTCAAAAATGAACATCCTAGTTACACATTTTCTTCTACGTCTCAGCCATCAGCCAATTTAGACGAATTATGTCAAAAAGAGAAAACCCTGAAACACACACCTGGATTTTAATCTCTCAGCGTTCTCAGACAAAACCCCTCCATTGAGCCAGTCACCAGAACAAGGCTCTTGTCCTTCTCAGTCATGGGGGAGGGGCGGCTAGCCACCGCTTCCCCGAGAGTATCCACAGCTCCGTTTTATAGGCCACTAAAAAGCCCCGGTCCCAGGGGCGGCAGGGCCACCTCGTCCTGTGCAGACATCAGGGTTAATTGCAGGAAACCTAAACTGTTCAGCGTGCACGCGGAGAGCATCAAGTTATTTTCAAAGAAGGAGGCTCGGCTATTACCAACAGGCCCTTGCGCCCACCCGCCTCCAGTGGCTTTTTGGAGAGCACTTGACAAGTGCACCACTTCCTGCGCCGGCTGCCTGAGGGGCTGCAGCTGCCCAGCCGGGGCTGCACGGGCCGAAAGAGTCTGGTCTCCGCACCTGAAGACACCGGACCTCCTCGCTTTCCTGCCCGCGCCATTTCTTCGAAGTCACAAAGTGCTGGAATCCGGGCGACCCCCGCCACAGCCAGACCAAACGCGGGGGAGCCACGGGCCGGCTTCCCAACGCAGGTCAGCCCGTGTACGCAGATTAAATGGGAGATGCGATCAATGACTCGGGAGCTTCTTGGGCAGAGCGAATTTCCGGGGACATCTCCTGCTTTCAAGAACTAGTTAGAATAAGCCCATGAAGCTACCCAAAAAGAGAGTTGGCTGAAACTGTCTCTCTCCCTGGTATTTACTGTTCCAGAAGGTGTCTGCCCCTCCAGTCAGCATCCATCTGCCTTGTTTCAGAGTTCACACGTGGCCGTGTGCCCCAGCCCCACCCTCAGGGCAGGAGCTAACGCTTTTCCTTCTCCGGGTCAAGCCTCCTGGCCCCTGCCCACCCTTCCATCCTGAGCAGTGCCTCAGACATACAGCTGCTCCACAGATATCCACGGAAGTGCGTTTACCCACCCAGCACAAACCTGGACGTTTCAACGTTTGTACACAGGGAAGGTACAGAAGAAACTGGGAGGGGAGTTAACCTAGAAGTTTTCCCATAAACTCTCACAATCAAACTGGCGTGTCCTGCTGTTCCTGGGGCTACATCTGACAGACAGATCATTACCAGCCCATCTGCTCCCAAGGAAATGCCGGGCCAGGTGAAGGGGTCTGACTGTGGACGGGCCAGGAGCGTGCGTGGGCGTCACCTCCCCACTTTATGGATGAGGACACTGAGGCCTGGCTGCCACAGGCAACCTGTGGTCATATGCAGGCCTGGAACCCAGCTCTCTGGGCTCTCGGTCCAAACCTTGCATCTCCCCTGAGTTTTGTTCCACTGATGGGGGAGTGTGCTGAGCCCCGGGCCTTACACACAGTAAGAACTCAATAAATATCTGAACAGCCCGGCCGGTGTGGCTCAGTGGTTGAGCGTCGACCTCTGCATCAAGAGGTCGCCAGTTCCATTCCGGGTCAGGGCACATGCCCAGGTTGTGGGCCCAATCCCGACAGTGTGGGGCATGCAGGAGGCGGCCAATCGATGTTCTTTCCCATCGATGTTTCTATCTCCCTCTCCCTTCCTCTCTCTCTAAAAAAAGTCAATAAAACATTTTTAAAAACAAATAAATATCTGAACAAATAGAGCCAGGCTTAGTGAGCCCGGCCCCGACTCTGCATGGACCCTGGGGTCTCCGGGAGCCAGTGGTGGTTTGAAAGATCAAAGCCACGGCTCTCCCCATGCTGACCTTGACCAGGACACAGGACCGTGAGGTATAGTAGTTAATGAAAGGGTGCAATCTGGAGCCGGGAAGAGCTGAGTTTGAATCCTGACCGTGTTCCTTTACTCCTGTAACCTTGGGCAAGTTCATTAACAGGTCCAAGCCTACCGATAAAAGCAGGACAAGGACGCGTCTTGAGGGGTGAGAGGTAAGCCATAGGAGAGAACGGATGAAGGTGCCCAGTAGTTATCGGGACATGCACATTCTGGAGCAGGGACACACACTCAGACTCACTGTCCTGCTGCCTCATGTCTGCTCGCTTCCGGGAGGGCTCAGGACAGGCTGCAGACCCCAGTCCTGACCCAGGTAAGCCCTGAGGGAAGGTTTGATGAACACAGGTACAAAAAAGTGAATACTACATGATGGGGCTTTCTACAGGAAGGTAGTCACATTTTAAAATAAATGTCATGCCCGGCCAGTGTGGCTCAGTGGTTGTGTCGACCCTGCACCAAGAGGTCGCCGGTTCGATTCCCGGTCAGGGCACGTGCCCAGGTTGTGGGCTTGATCCCCAGTGGGGGGCGTGCAGGAGGCGGCCCATCGATGTTCTCTCTCATCGATGTTTCTACTCTCTCTCCCTCTCACTTCTTCTCTCTCTAAAATCAATAAGAAAAAAAATTTTTTAAGTAATTAGGAGAGAGACAGGACAGAGAGAGAGGCAGAGACAGAGGGAGGGTCTGAGCCTTACTTCTGCCCTGTTTTACTTCCCTGTTCTGTTTTACTTCCCCTTTACTTTTGGTTTGCTCGTCGCTAAGCATTTTCGGAATTTATGACCCTACCTTGTAAGCATAACAGCATAAAAATGATCAAATACTTTCACAGAAGGATTTTGCCTGGAGACCCACCTGCATGCCCTTGCCCACCTCTCTATGCCATGCACTGTCCCTGTGTGACTTGGCCCCCTTCAGCCCAGTGGTTGAGTGTCGACCCTGCACCAAGAGGTCGCTGGTTCGATTCCTGGTCAGGACACAGGCCCAGGTTGTGGGCCCGATCCCCAGTGGGGGGCATAGAGGGGGCGGCCAATTGATGTTCTCTCTCATCAATGTTTCTATCTCCCTCTCCATTCCCCTCTCTAAAAATCAATAAAGAAACAAAAATTTGTTTTTAAATAAAGTAAAATGGATCTCATCTCCATTCTATTCCGCAAAGAAACAGTCTACAGAAAGACATCAGCGGGGGGTGACATGCTGATGAAGAGGCCCCGAAGGTGGCCCATCTGCCACCCCAAAGGCCTCGCTTGTCCCCACCCCCCATGCAGACGTGGAAAAGGGCCAAGGGGGACCTTACCAAGCAGGGCGTTGTGACCGTTATCATCCGGCAAGAACCTTTTGTCAACAGCGCACACCAGGAGGTGGTCCGGCAGGCTGGGGGACTTGGCCCCCACGAGGAGGAAGCCCGCAGGGACGTCAACGGGCTCGTTGGAGATGGAGACGAGTCGCAGGTCCTTCCCCGCCTGGCAGAACCCTGGGAGGAATGGATGGGGCTCACATCCTGCTGAGGGGCCCCCAGAACCAGCATCCACACGGACAAAGGGATGAAGATATTCTGGGTCTTGTCAGGGCCAACCCCTACCTCGCATGTAGTTGACTTAAAATTAATTCTGAGCACCCTGGCTGGTTTGGCTCAGCGGTTAGAGCGTGGGCTCAATTCCAGTCAAGGGCATGAACCTCGGTTGAGGTCATGGGGGAGGCAACCAATCGACGTGTCTCTCTCACATCCATGTTTCTCTCTCTCTTTCTCTCTCTGTCTCTCTTCCTCTCTCCCTCCCACTATCTGAAAAATAAATGAAAAAACATCCTTGGGTGAGGATTTAAAAAATAATTACATTAAATTAATTCTGAGAGATAAAATTACATCTATGGTTATTAATGACACTTAACCTCGTGTTTTTATGACTATGGGTGTCACAATTACTGTATAAATGAAGCTCATTGGGAGAAATTATAGACAAATGATGGTAAATTAAAATGTATACAAGATAAATCTGCAAGGAATTGCACGATATGATCTTTTTTACGCTCTGCATTTTACATGTATGAGGACAGATGAGTGGCAGGACTATAGGGTGAGACCTGGCGACACCGGGCACCTTGGGGAGGGGTCTGCATGCCCAGGGACAGAGGAGAGGCAAGCGTAGAGACGTTCACCCTGTGCCCTTTGAACCTTTCGTATCTAAAAGCTTTTAAACACAAGGGTGGGCAAAAGTAGGTTTACAGTGGCAATACAAATAAATAATCCAATAATAAATAAATAACACAAGAGTAAACTGTTCCGCATACTCACAACTGTAAACTGACTTATGCCCACCCCTGCACATTTCCTGTTTAAAGAAATAAGTGTCCCAAATTATCTGGGGGAAAAAGGAAGCAGGAGGAAACAGCTGAGTTTTTTTTGGATGGACACTTTCCAGGGTTTTTCTCTATGAGGCCTGGTCAGCCCGATCCCTGATGTTTCTTCTACCCGTAGTTTCTGAGCAGGACGATGAGAAGAGTTAAAGTGAACCCCGACCTGCCCTGCGAAACTGCGGTGCTTCAGAAAGACGCCCGCGCACCTGCTCCCGGCACCTGCTTCCCGCACCTGCTCCCGGCACCTGCTCCCCGCACCTGCTCCCGCCGCACCTGCTCCCCGGTTCACAGCGCAGGCTCCCCAGCACCTCCCGACGCCCCGGGGAGGCGGGAGGCGGAAACCTGTGCCCATCCACTGTGCAGCACCAGCCAGGTGAGCTCTGCACAGCTCCGGTCACCTGTGGGGAAGTCTTTCTGACCCCCGTTTGAAGATGCGGAAATCGAGGCTCAGAGAGGTGACACCCTTGGCCCAGAGCTGCTGAGAGGTGGGCCAGGATGGGGCCCAGCCCGACTCTCAGGCTTGGGTGGTTCCCCTGCATCCTCTTGGAGAAGCTCAGCAGCTGTGAGATTGAGGTCAAGCACCCAGCAGGTGTCCGAGTCCAGGACCTGGGCCCTCCCGGTCTGCAGTATGGCCTCCCGAGGGGACAGGCTGTGGGCAGGCAGCGAGTTCGCTGCATCTGCCTGGAACCCCTTTGAGGAGTCCTTCTTAGGCCCTGGCCGGTGTGGCTCAGCGGTTAGAGCGTCGGCCTGTAGACCAAGGAGTCCCGGGGGCGATTCTGGCCAAGGGCACGCACCTCGGTTGCGGTTCGTCCCCAGCCCCAGTTGGGGTCGCGCAGGTGGCAACCAATCGATGTGTCTCTCTCACATCACTGTTTCTCTCTCTCTCCCTCACACTCTGTCTGAAGATAAATGTAAAAATATCCTTGGGTGAGGAAAAAAAGAAAAATCACTCTAATGACCACTGGAGACTCTACCATTTTCTTACTAATTAGGTGGCCTCTTGCCCTGTGGACACTGGATGTCCTGCTTCTTAAAGAGCCAAGGTACTGGGGTCCCTGTCCCTAGAAGAGCCCGTGAGGCCGAGCCCCTCCCCTGCCCGCCGTCCTTCACAAGGTCAGGGCTGGGCACACACGCAGGGGGCAGGGGCCCCACAGCCCACCTGACCACCCCTCCGAGCCCTGCCTTCCACTGCAGGCCCCTGGCCGAGCAAACTGCTGGCTGTCGCCCAGATGGGCGGCACCCCACTCGTTAAGCCTCTGCACTCTCCTGTGTCTGGAAGGTCCCGGCTTCCCCCAATGCCCTTACAGTCTCCGGGCTAACAAATGCTACCTCCCCAGAACCCAGATGAAAGAACCTCCTCCTCCAGGGAGCCTTCCCCTACGGCTGAGGGACTGTCCTGTGTTCCCACCACCCCTGCACCGTGCGGACCCAGCACCCCACCCCCACCCCGCCATCACTTTCTACATCGTGTGTGAAGTGTCTGCTTGCCTATGACACTCCATCAACACGGGAGCTCTTGTGTCTTTTATTTCCGTATCTCCAGAGCAGGGGTGCAAGTATGTCAATCAATTAACTGACTAAATCACTAGCTAGTGGCACCTCTTGACGGGTGGCGATAGGACGGAGGAACTCAGAGGGGGTCTGGCCAGGAGGCAGCAGAACCGGGAGGCCATCCAAGTGTCCCTCAGTGCCAAGCACCAGCCCTTGTCACAGGACCAAACTGTCCCTCCCCCACCCCCCGTGGCATCTCGGACCCTGGTCCTCAATGTCACATGGGAGGAGCAGGGCTGATTTTACAGGGCTTCCAGGATAACGTGTGTCTGTTTCCTCACAGTCAAATGCCAATAGACGTGGAAGATTATTCCTCCTAATGGGTTCTGAGGTCCACACGGTGCGGAGCAACCACACCTGAGTTGGGGAAATCTGTTTTAGTTTTACAATAACTAATGTGGAAAGATGAACGTTGGGGTCTGAATCCACTCATAAAATTGAGGCTGTCCAAACGCGGCTGAGAGGCTCTGAGCTTGACCGAGCCCCCATGGAGGGGTGCAGTCAATGCTGCAGGTACAGGGGGCACCCCAGCCACTGCCTGCTGGGGGCCATGGGCACAGGGACCCCCGGAGCCGCAGACGCTGGCAGCGGGCACTGCCTGGCAGGCTCACCGTCCGTGGTGCAGCACCCTTCAGGCGGGGGGTGCATCTGGTAGGGGTTTGGGGGACAGGTCGGCTCCAGCCCCCCTTCCCCCTCTTCTTCTTCTTCCTCATTGTCCACTCGGCTACCACCTAGAGGGGGAAGTGGGGAGGGGAGGAAAGCAGAGGTGAGTATTCAGCGAGTCTCAGCTAATTACTCAGACTTTACACCCGCACCGTAAGTCGGGCATCACCACTGTCTTTACTAGAGGGCCAGCTAGGCCAGCTCAGGACTCTCCCAGGGGCACAGACTCGGGCTCCGAGCCTGGCCTCCTGACTTCAAATTCAGGGTCACATTTCTTCCCATCCACCAGGGTTGCACACGTCTGCACACGCACCAGGGGTCAGTCCACATGGATGGGGTTGAAAAGGCGGAGCATGAAACCTGCACATGGCAGGCACGCCAAGAAGGTCCGAGTGGGAGGCACTGTGGTGTTAAAACAGACCATTCTACAGACAAGGATACTGGGGCTCCGAGAGACCCATGGTTGGCCCACAGCTGCTGCACGAAGAGCTAAGGGGCACAGGTGTGGTCCCAGGTGTGTCTGATGTCCAAGCTAATGTTCTCGCCACCAGCTGCAGCTCAGTCTGGGCTACAGGACACAATGTGACTTTTCTACACAGCACAAGAGGTGCAACGACGTGTTAGTATCCCCCCGAGGGAAGAACGCAGGTGTCATTACTAGAAATACAACACACCCAAATTTGTCACACATACACACACAAAGAGCCATTGCAGCGCAGGACAGGCATGTTGTGAGCTCAGGAAAGTCTTTTTAAGTGAACTAGTATTTTGGGAGGAATGTCAAGGGTGGAACTGGCCAGGAGAGCCAGGAATTAGCCATGGACTGCAGGGTCTGGTCACTGCCCCCAGACTCTCAGCTCCTGGAGAGTGGGACCCACCCCTCCTCACCTCTGCACCCAGGCACCCAGCAAAATTCCTCTAACAGAAGCAGGGCTCAGGTGACACCTGCCCACCTGCTCTGGTCACGCCCAGTGACTCCTCCTCAAACAGAGCGTCGCTAGAGAAAGCAGGGAGCTCAAATCCATGAATGTTCGAGACTGCTGAAATACAGTCCTTTTAACTTCTTTTAACAGACATGTTGGGTTAAAAAAAAAAAACCTCTTTCCACTTGTCTTAATAAATAGTATGCAGCCCTGGCCGGTTTGGCTCAGCGGTTAGAGCGTCGGCCTGCGGTCCGGAGAGACCCGGGTTCGGTTCCTGCTAAGGGCATGTACTTCGGTTGCAGTTTGTCCCCGGCCCTGGTTGGTCGTGCAGGTGGCAGCCACTCGATGTGTCCCTTTCATGTCGATGTTTCTCTCTCTCTCTCTCTTCCTCTCTCTCCCTCCCACTCTATCTGTACAAAAATTGGAAAAATGTCCTCGGGTGAGGATAAAAAATAAATTAAAAAAATTTAAAAATAAATAAATAAATAGTATGCAGATTTCTTCATGAAACGGGTCACTATGAACACCCTCCAATACACTAGGCTGGGAGACCACGGCTTCTTTGTGTCGCCATGTCCCCTTTACGTGCTGGCTTCGGGGTGGCCGTTTCTCCCGCTCTCATCGGACCTGGCTCTCACAGGCTCTACCCTTCCAGGGTGTCCAGTGGATTTAGGTTACTGATGAAATCCTGTGCAGTGGAAAGAGATGGGGTTTGGGTTTGCCACTGTCTGTGTGACCACAGGAAAGTTACTTAACCTCTCTGTGCGTCCGAACCTGCATCTGTGAAATGAGGTCGCTCTGAGCTGGGACAGGCTACTGGGGAAAGGAGGCCTCAGAATACTCCAGGTGAGATTTAATCAGCAGTGGCCAGCAGCAGAGCCTCCCGGTGGCCACCATCTTAAAGAGGCCGAAGAAACTGGACATTTCCAGCCAGTCGGGACCCATGACCTTGAGACGGTCACAGCAGGAGTGAAGCCAGAATCTTGGTGTCTCTGTCCTTCTGGGCCTAGGGACACAGAGGTGGCGGGCAGCGTGTGGAAGACCACCGGGAGAACACCGGAGGGCAGGAGATAACTGGGGTTCTGAGGTGCTTCCTTCCCACCGCTGCTGCGGCCGGGGCTTTGGGCAGGAGGTACAGCGTCACACCCAGACCCCAGGCGCCCGCAGCACCGCGCAGCTCCCCAGGGGCACTCACACTGTCCCTCGCCACCTGCGGCGTGGGTGGCACAGAACGTCCTTCTGCAAAGTGCAGGCTACACTGAGCCAGTCCTGCAGAGGCCCAGGGGATGGCAAAGCCCCCGAGGAGCAGAGTGCGAAGGGGAGAGAATGTCTTGGGGGCGCCGAGGGCACCCCCAGGAATGTCTGCACATTATTCTGCTAAGCCCAAAAGGACAGGAATTCAGACTCTTGGGAAGAATGAAAGAGGAGGGTTTTAAGCCTCCGAAAGTCAAAGAAAGAGCTCAAAATCCAGTCTCCCAGAAAGCAGGATTAAAGGTCAAAGGTCTGCGGGAGGCATTCCAGGGCCTTTGATGGGATGAGTCAGCCAGGGACCCTCCGGGAGACTTCCTAACCAGGAGGGACAAACCCAGACTGTTTACCAAGGTCTGCCGGGAGGAGGAGAGCCCGCCAGTGGCACTAGACACAACCACCTGGATGGGGACCCGAGGACCACAAACTCCGACGGGAACCCAGAGGCGCCAAGGCCCCGCTTGACTCCTGGGTGCGGCTGTTTCCAGTGTGCGCACCCAACTTTGTTCTCCTCCCACGAGAAGACACTGTGTGACCTTCGGGGCGGGGGCAGGTGGGCTACATAAATGTAGCTGCATTTTCTTTCATAGATACTTACCTCAAAAATGCTGGGGTGGCATATTTGTAGTTGGGTTGGTCTTTCTTTTTAAAAAACAACTAACACAGGCCCAAACACAGACGACATTACCTGAGCAAGGGGTGCTTAGGACAGCAGCACCCTGGCCATAAACACCAGCTCCAGTGCTATCATCAGAGGAAGGACAGATAAGAGGCCCTGACGAGACAGGCAGACGAAACAAGACGCGGCCCGCAGAGCCGGCTGCGCCGGGTTTACGAGGCAGAAGCCGGGGCTGGGGCACACTGCTCGGTTTATGGACACATTCAGCAAACCAAAGAGTGGCCCCGCTACCCACCCAGCTCCCCTACTAGGGAAACAAAAATCTCAGAGGATGTCCCTCTTCTGTCTGCTGGACGAAAGGGACAAGCACAGAGAAGCCACTCTGGTTTTCATACCAACAGGCGGGCAGAACCAGGGGCCAACAGCTGGCAGGAGGCACAGGAAGGGGAGGCCCGGGAACCATCCCTGGACGGTGCGACTTGCCCAGCGCCCTACCGCAGACGGGAGCACCCTGAGAAAGCAGAACATTGGGAGGCAGCCTCCTCGTTCGAGGCCAAGAGGTCTAGTTAGAGACCTTAGACATAAAGACAAGCTGAATGGGACCTCCAACAGCTCTCTGTCTTCGGGTGAGCACCCTGCAAAACGCCAAGCAAACCCACCTACCATCTCCTCAAATCCTGGCATTCCATCCCTTTAGCTGGCGGAGGGGAAGCACTGGCTACATTTGAAGGTGCTATTCAAATGCACTCAGTTATTTGCCATTATTGCTACCGTGACTTTAGCGGGAACCGAACCCGGGTCTCTCCGGACCACAGGCCAACACTCTAACCGCTGAGCCAAACTGGCCAGGGCTCTATCGTGACTTTAGCAATGACGCCTTTCAATGCTGAAAGAAGTTAAGGGTGACTATTTTACACAGACTTCCCAAGCCTTCCTGCCAGCCAAAAACACAGTCCGTAAAATACCCTCCCACTGCCTCTCGCCTCCCCACAATGTCACAGGAATGTCTGCTGTGCAGGAACCGAGTCCCCTCCACATGAAGGACAGAGAATTCCTGGCTCTAATCCACGCTCGGACACAACCTTTTCCTCTCAGACCCAGATCCAGTTCTTACAGGTCCTTCGCTGCTGCTATCTACACGGTTAACTCAGGAAGGGCGGGTTACAGGGGACTCGGTGCCCCCCTGCTAGGATAAGGATGTCCTAGGCGTCACACAGGCAGATCCATGCTTCCTTTTCCCCCCGCCCACGCCCTCCCCCACACACACATTCACACACAGTCCACATGCCACATGCCCACTGCCACCCACTCACACACCGTGCCCACCCCAACATGGGACCTGGCAGGCTGCACGCCTTCGTGTTCAGTTAGTTCATTAACGTTTGCAGTTCATCAACGTGTGTTTTCAACCACCGCCCAGGTCACTGCAGTAGCTAAGTGAGGTCTGCAGGTAACGCCACGTGAAGGCAGGAAACCGACAGAAAGAATTTTCATTACAGGAACTGTCTCCCTACAGACAGGACAACACCCGGCTGTAAAAAGGCCAAGCAAAGACCGAAAACTGCAACCTTTTTGTTCTCGGGATAATTAAGTCGGTCCTAAAGATGTCCCCAGGCCTGAGGATAACTGATTTATTCCTGGCACACGTGAAATTCATGGAGGTTTGTTCCCGGGTTTTAAAACTTTCCCGAGGGTTCTTATACCTGTTCTTGCAAGAGGGACACAGCTTAGACTGCTTTGCAAAGATATGGCCATGAATCACGGGACACGGAGGAAAAAATGTGGCTGGGGGTCAAAAGCATATTAAAATGTTTTATCCAAGTGAATACGTCCAACCTTTGAATAAGTCGCAACCAATTCCGAACAGCCCAACACGCCCTCTTCCCATCTAGGCGCCCCGTGAATAATTTCATTCCTGGCAACCTCACGGCCGAAACCTACTTTAACTTTAGCCAAGAGAAGGCAGGCGCCAAATTCTTCCTCCAACAATTCTTTCTGGCCAGACCCAACCTTCTCCACCCAGAGCAGACAGGGCAGAGGCTCGCCCGCCCCCCGGGGCGGAAACGCGCGTGCAGCCTACCTTCCAGCGCCGAGAGCTGCTGCTCAGCTTCCAGGTACAGCTGGGAGAACACGGGCCGGGGCACCAGGCTGTTGGAGCGCAGGGAGGCCTCGATGGAGCTGTGCAGGACCTCCTCGAACCTCGTCGTCTTCAGCTGTCCAGCGTACGAGTTTCCCATCTTCCAGAGGGACGGCGGCGTCTTCTGTTCAGAACGGCATTTCAGTTAAAAAGACAGCCCGGCACACGAAGCCCCAAGGCAGGAGGCAAAGCCCAGCTCAGCAGAGAGGAGGAGCCGGTGGTCGCTGGCACCGGGCAATTACAGGAAGTTATATAAGGTCGCAGCTTCCCTGACTTAGCACTCGGATGGCAGCTTCTGACACCTCTTAGAATATTTCACTAGAAGTCGGCTCTCCGTCCTCCCAGGTTTCACAGACCCCCCAGCTTTTCCCGGAGCTGTGCTCCTGCCCCCCCCAGAAACCCCAGGCCGAGGAGGCTTTATTTTCCGGGACTCGCAGTAGAATGGGCCACTTTGTGGATGTGACGGCAGCTGACGACCTGGTGATCCATGACAACCCGTCCCCAGGTCTTAGGATTACTCAGCCTCCCCTTGCTTCTCGGGAAGCAGGGGACCGATTTCCCATTATTGTCTTTGGTTGCTAAAGAGCCAATTATTAACCTTCTTCCTTTAAAACGGTGTTTGGTTTATGATGTTCTCATTACATGAGTGACGCAGAATTATATCTGGAAATTACATAAGAAGGTGGAAAGCAAGGAAAATCACAGATATTTTCATTTCCCGAGATATGCACTGTGATTTTTTTTTTTTTTTTGGTATCAGCTTGGTTCAGACATAACTCACACACCACAACATTCACCCACGGAAAGTGCCCAGTTCAAAGGTGACAGTGTGTTCTCAGCGCTGTACAACCATCCCGTGAGCCATTTCAAAACATTTTGCCACTCCGGAGAAAAGTAATCGCTCACGTGCCCTTTACCTGTCGCTCCCAAACTCCCCCTCCCCCAACCCTTCAGAGCTAAGGGACTAGGGACATACTCCCTGTCTCTGCAGATTTGCCTCCTCTGGAAATTTCCCATCAATGGACCCACACAGCCCATGGTCTGTGCCGGGCTTCTCTGGTGAGCGCGACGTATTCAAGCAGCACGTGTCAGTGTTTCATTCCTATTGTGATGTATTCTTTCCAGACTTAATTCCCTTCAGAACGTGGGGGTGGGAGGCAGGTGGGCGACTGTGCTCACAGGGCTGTAATCATTCTATAACACAATTTTTATTCTGCTTTCTTAACTTGTGTGAAGGGGCGGATATTTGCGTAGATATTGCTTCCGGACCACACATAGGGTTAAACCTCTGATATTTAGTCCTTCCCAAGAACTGCCCCTTAAATCTGTATTTCTTCCTCGTGTTCTCCATGTATTTTTCTATCTCATTAAATCTCGCTCTTTGTGTATAGCACCCTCTTTCCGTGTCCTTCTGGCTTAATGTCTTGTACTTTTTCCAAACTTCTTTAAAAAATTCCTTTATCATCACCTTTATTTCCCATCTTACTTCCTTAATAACGAAGACATTTAGGGCTATCCATGTTCCTCTTGAGTGCCACTTTCTGCTACAGCACGTCGCTTTAGTATGAAGTGGTCTCCTTTTTGTTTCTTTTTAGATACTTTATGACCTCCGTTTTGATGCCTTCTTTGATCTAATCATTATCCAGAGCACATATTTAATTTCTAAATAATCGAGACATGGGGAGGAAGGGTCAGCATTGTATTATGTCTTTCTCATTTGTATTGGATTACAGTCACGACTATAGTCTTAGACACTTTCCAAGTTGGTCAAGGGTTTCTTTTGCGAAGACACCTGATGGATTTTTACAAATATACTAACAATATGAGAAAAGAGATGTATACCCCCTCTTCAAGGGATGAAAGGAGCTCAGTTATTCAAATGTCTCCTGTGAAATGCACAATCCTTGCATGTTTCTTGTCTATAAAACTGCTGATTTGCAAGGTAGCATCTGACTCCGAAAAGAGCACAGGGGCTCGGCTGTGACCCAGGACAACAGCTTTCTGGTTCACGCAGCGACACACGCCCCGTCGCACAGGCCGTGAGGCTGGCTTCACAAGCCAGGAACTGTCTCGCACCCCACTCAGGCTCCAGACACAGGTAAGAGGTTCCCTGTCCTCGTTCAGTTGGGGCAGAGCAATCTCCAGCCGGGACAGTTGGTGCCCTTGGAGCTCTGGTTCCCTCCTGAAGGTAACAAGGGCTGGAGTCCCCGCTCCTTGACTTCCTGCCTCTATTGTAAGAAAGTCTTTCTTCTTCCAACTAAAAGTAAGTGGAAACCATCAGACACTTCCTGCCTGCGTCAGCCATTGCTGAGTGCGGCCCCTTGGTCAGCCTCCAGGTACAGCCTGGGGAACTGAGCTGTTGGGAGGATTGCTCCAGGAATGAGCCCCAACGAAAAGAAAGTGCCCCGGAAAGAGAGGGGCCAGCTGCCAGAGCCACGTAACCCCCCACCCCCCCGCAGAAGAGGCTCCAGGGCCCTCTCATCGCCTTTCTTCTTGATCGGCTGCATACGCCAACACATGGATGAGAGCTTACCGGCCGCACCTGGGGTCACCTGCATTATTTTTGATTCAGAGTGGACTGTTTAAAGCCGCCGCCAAGGAATAAGATCAGAAATGTCTCCTGTTTCTATAGAGCTTTGTCTGAGGAGCTTACCGCACACAGAGAGCTTTAAGTCTGGCCCATTTTACACAGAGCCCCTGCAGAATTATGCTCAATGATTTATTGGGCATCCAGCCCCTACGGCCCCAAGGTCCTGTTCAGCTCACCTGACAGCTGATTGGCACCCTGAGCCCAGGGGACTCCACCCGTCAAAGCTGATCAATGCCTGATGTGGATGGAGCCATCAAGAGGATGAAAATACACACAACACTCATTGGCCAGCCTCTGTGTGCAAAGCACTGGGCACGCCCCCTCGCTTAGCATGCACGGGAGTCCGCAGAGGACAGCGTGAAGCCCCTTCTAACGATGCAAAGTCAAGTCTTGGAGATGATAAGTAACCTGAATGAACTCATGTGGAAAGAAAAAAAAACAGAATTGGGGGTGGGTGCAGAAGGGGATGGGACGGGGGAGAGAGGGACAGTGACAAAGAAACATCTTCCCGCTCACAAACAGTGGACGTTTTATTTTACAACTCTAAGCAAGCATCGGAGTGGTGATGTCTGTAAGCAAGCAGTGATAGAGAAAGTGTGCCCGCCCCCTGTTGAATGTTGACTGGAGTCACACAGGCCAACACTGGCGATCAGGGTGGAGGGGAGTTCTGAGGGTCACATGAGACGGCTGGCCCTTTCCGGGAGCCCCCCTGGAGCACAATCGAAGGGCGTGGGAACTTCCTCCATGCACACAGCTCTCTGGATCTGTCAGACAACACACCTGCCAGGTGAGGAGGGTTGGGGACCAGGGGTCAGAGCAGGCCAAGGTGGAGGCGCAGCTGGAGTCCTTGGGTGTGTTCGAATCCTGCACTTGTCAGATGGGGAACCACAGGGCCAGAGAGAGGAGAGCCTAGCTCAAGGTCAAACACACAGGCCTACACCCTCCCAATGCCTCATGGAGTGGAAGGCCTCCATCCCCCACGCCCGCCCGGCTCTGCACGCTCTCCCTGGGCGGGTCTCTGTGCCACACCCTCCGGCACTTGGTCTGCGGACCCAGGGCACCTCCCACACCCGACAGGTCAGGAAGGAGACACGGGAACAGACGTGACCCGACTCTGCTGTAAAGAGCTTCACGGGTCCTGTCAGACGAGGGGGTGGATTGTGGACAGATTCCTACAGACTGGAGGAAACAAGAAAGGCTACAGGCAGCAGCTGCTGGGAAACCACGAGGTTGTACAGGACTGAAGGGTTCATCAGAGCACAGGTGAGTCTGTGCTGAGCGCCGAGTCCACCACTTTGTGCCACAACATAACCATTCTGGCAGGGTGGGGGAAGAACAGGTGTGCCTGTGACGGTGTGTTTCAGGGTAGGAAGAAAGCGGTGCAAGAAAGCAGAATAAGCAGATGACCCAAAGCCGGGCCGAGTGGCTCAGCTGGTTGGAGCGTCGTCCTGTACACCAGAAGTTTGCGGGTTCGATCCCTGATCAGGGCACGTTTGGGAGGCAACCAACTGATGCTTCTCTCTCACATCAATGTTTCTCTCTCTCTCTCAAATCAATGAAAACATATTCTCAGGTGAGGATGGAAAAAAAAAGATCACCCAGAAATAAATAAGGCATTGCAGCACTAGTTATTACTTATATAAACAAAGAGGTAAATTCTATAAAAGAAAAAGAAATGAGAGAATTAAAACACCCTGCCTCTAGGGAGCAGGAAGCGGAGTGGACGTCGGCGAGGAGACCGTTGTTTTCCACTTTAAAGCTTATGCTATAATCTTCTTAGACTGTGCGTATTTACATTTATTAAAAACTGAAGGTTACATTTAAAAATCAATAACATGCAGAAGGCATGAAAATGAACACACAGAGTCTCAGGAGCGTGGCAGCCGAAGGCCACGTGACCTGCAGGCTAAGAGCAAAGGAAGGCCCCCCGCGCAGCGCCTCCCCAGCACCGTCTAATCTAATCCTGGCAACAATCCTATCTGGTACCACGTCTATCCCTGCTTCTACCCCTACTTTGCAGATGCAGAGACGAGGGCTCAGAGAGGTCGTGGAGCTGTCTGATGACACACAGCCAGTGCCTGGCCTGGAACTGAAAACCCATCTCCAAAGAATCTCTTCCACGAAAAGTAGTGCTAAGAAGTTTAAACTAACGGACTATAGAAGCTCAGACATCCTCCGTTGAAAGGTTATAACTGTTTTACCATCCCCTTCTCGAGGCCCGGGCGTCGCCCAGTTTGCAGAAGGTCGCGGCGTTTCTCTAACCTTCCAGAGGACAGGACAGCGCCGGGAAGCGGCCTCTGGGACTAAGCAGGCGCACAGCGGGGGCCTCGTCGTTGCTCTGGGCGCCCGTGAAATCCTGCCATTGTCACGGAAGCTTCTGCCTACACTCCCGGAACCACACTCCATGTCAGGCCTACTGGAGCCCACGTTACAGCATGGATCCAAAGTGAACACAGAAGGAAAATGTCAAAGCTCCTGTTTACATCTATTCTATCGAACCATGTTAATTA